AGTAGGTAAAAGGCAGGTTTTCAACCCAGGTCTAATTCTGAAATGTATGCTTTTAGCTACTAAATCATGAGGAGAATAGAAGTTAAAAATGTTCTTGAAGAGTGATTTATGCATACCTTTTCTACCTGCTGCCTCTCATTTTCCCATTCTTAAATATTTTTTTAAAGATTTATTTTATTTATGCATACAAGAACTGGGGTCAGGCCAGAGGTATGGGGGCTAAGAGGATTCACCAGAGAGAGTGGGGAGCAGAACAGGCAGATCAACTGAAATACATTGCTGAGGGGAGCAGCAGGCGAGACAGGAGAGGTCTGCTGTGCCAAGTGGGTTGCTCCCTGGATGGCTGGGGATCAGTGGCTGTCAATTGCTTGATAATGCTCTTTAACCCCTATACCGCCAGGAAGGCCCCCCTAAATCATTTTATTTTTATAGATTTATTATATTTTATACAAGAAATGGGGTGCAGGTCAGAGGCGTGGGAGGGTGAGAGAATTCACCAGACACAGAGTGGGGAACAGAACAGGCAGACATTGCTGAGGGGAGCAGCGGGTGAGACAAGAGAGGTCTGCTGTGCCATGTGGGTTTTTCCCTGGCCGGCTGGGAATCAAACTCGTGCTGCAGAGGCAGCAGACAGTGCTCAACACGCTGCATCACTTGGGAGGCCCCCCTTAAATAATTTTAACTGATTAACCGAAACCTCAAACCATTCTCTGTTGTTAAAAAACTGAGGAATCACCTTGAACTTGTTAAAACTGCAAACTCAAGGGTGAGGAGTGAAATACCTCCCTTCCCCATTGTGATTCTGCATGTCTGGGATTTGGCCCAGTAACCTGCATTTTGTTGAAATAAACATGCTGACGTGATTCCATCCATATGATCAGAGGATGAGATGTATTGCCTTAAATGGAGGTAGTGTTAGGATGGAATAATACAATCCCGTATTTTTTTAAAGACTATGGAGCTGTAAATAGATTTTGCATAGAACATAATATAGAAATTAGATCTGTGGTACCTATTTAGTATAACTCCTCTGAGAATGTCAGTGCTAACAAACAGTGTGATTCATACTTGACTCTGTTTATGTTTCATTTTATCCAAAGTATGTCTTCATTTTTTCAGAGAAACATACTCTGAAATGTTCCTATTATTTTCTTTTCTTAAAAATGACCTTTTATCCCAGGGAGAAGTAACTTATCATAGTGTTTCTCAGTTTGCCATATTCCTGCCTGTTAAAGGGATCCTTACTCCCATCTCTGATAACAGCTCACTCCAACCATGTTTCTCTGCAGAATTAGGGTCTTATCAGAATCTGGGGAGGAGAGGAGACATAGTAAAACTTTATAAAATTACTCTCTTAAGTGTAAGACTTCTGAGGATGCCCCACCCTAATTTCTGAGCTACTGTGGCTTACCTGAACACTAAAGAGTAGAAGTAGGAGGAAGAGATTATAGTATCTTATTTAATATGTGGAGGCTCGATAGAAAAAGTCTGCCTGTACCTAGGGATTACACATAATATTGAGTTCTGTTTCCATCTTTTCTTTCCTTCCTTCAAAACTGTGTTTCCTCCCAATACCTCAAAGGCATGTACTATATCTTCTTTTACTTTCAGTTATTGTTATTGCTGTTTTATGTGTGGAAGTATTTATGTCTTCCCCCCACTCCTTCTTAATACCATAGTCCTTTTCATGTAGGTAGACCGGAAAAGAGGGATTCGCTTTTCTTCTGTGACAGTTGGTTTTCGGAGGATAGGAGTCATTATAGAAAAGTTATCTTTTTGGCTCAGAGAATAAAATTGATTCATACTCAATTAATATTGAATAAACAATTTTTTTATGAATTAAAATCAGTTATAAGGGGCTGAGGTCTTATTTTACTCTTTTAGAAGTTAATAATTAGCTTGCTGGCAGAATATCAGAGACTCATATCTGAGACAAAAAACTATTATTCATAGCCTAATTTAGATATGACTCAGCAAGCAGCATAGGCATGGCTTTGCATTAGTTCCTCTGTTCTCCCTTCCCCAAGTCCCGTGGAAGTGACCTGAATGGGTCAAGATGGATGAAATGTGTTAATGAAATACTGAGCTTGGGCGATCCATTGCTTTTATAGTGAGTGGTAAGCAAGCCTCTTTGTCCTGGAGGGAGATATTACTTCACCCCTCAGAGCTGCTATTTGCTAACACAATCCTGAAAAGTGACTTGGGTAAGAAGTCGTGTGTTGGACCTCCCCAGTGGCGCAGGGGTTGAGCGCTGGGCTGCGAAGCTGCCCGCAGCCTCTGCATCGCCAGTTTGATCCCCAGCCGGCGAGGTTCCCACTTGGCGCACAGACCTCTCTCCTGCCGTGCCCGCTGCTCCCCTCAGCAGTGTACTTCGTCAGTCTGCCTGTTCTGTTCCCCGCTCTGGCTCTAGTGAGTTCTCTCACCCTCCTGCGCTTCTGACTGTACCCAGTGTTTGTATAAATTAAATAAATAAATTAAAAAAAAAAAAAAAGAAGTCTTGTGTTTTTGGCATACCCAGCAAGACATACAGGATTGAGAGACCCAAAGAGGAATGGCTCTCCCTACAGTAAGTACATGTAATAGGTAATTGATTGAAATCATAGAAAAGATTATTATGAAATATTTGCCATACAAAGCAGTACATAATGAATAGCCATATAGTCACCTCCCACCTTGAGAAATAAACATTATCTTTTCATTTGAAATTTCCTGTGGATCGCTACCCTTATCCTCAAGTAGACACTTTGCTGAATTTGTTGTGATCATGCCAATACATTCCTGTGCATCCCTTAATATCACACAGTATTGTTTTGTATGTTTATAAATGTCTAAAAAAAGGTTACTACCTCTGAAAAAGTTAAAAGTCATCGTGTCATTTTAGGCACTGTAGGAAGAAATTGAAACAATAAAATTCTTACATGTTATGATGTATAGACCAAGTTGAAACCACACTTAGTAAAAGGAAAAGACATGTGTGCAAAAAAATAGTAAACAACATAAAACTATCATCTAATATATGTAAGAATTAACTAATTAAGGATAGAGAGCAAAATATAATTCATTACTCAAGTGGAAAACAGTGATACAGGAAAGGGGATTATGCTGTGAGGAAATGACTTTAAATTGTTTCAGTCAAGAAGATGGGAGCAGGAAGCTAGGAGGACTAGTTAAGCAGCAGGACAATTTGCTGAGAGGGTTGTAGGCCCATCATTCTGTTGGATTTTGATCAGGAAGAAGTCTAAGCTAAGCCGAAGATATCAAAGGACCCAACAATAATTGAGCAGGGATGGCTACACATGGTAAAATTAGAGAACATTCTAATGCTTTCTAGATTATGACCAAAATGTGTGTTACAGATTCCAGCATGATAGAAGAATTTAAAGTGAGCTGCAGCAGATAGGGAAACAAAATCTCACTGAGAAGTTTGGAGTTAGGCTTTGACTGGCCGTTGGGGATTTGGACCATGCTTCGGGAAAGGGAGTGGGTTGAGAGCACAAGAGCAAGGACTGGAGATAGTGTGTGGAGAAGTCAGAAGACTAACCTGTGCGAATTGTTTGTACCCAGGTCACTTGACACGTAGAGTTTCCCTGTGTGGGTTTTGCTGAGTATACACACGGTGGAGTTCAGCAGCTTTCCCCGTCTTCGTTATTATCTGTAAATTAGCAACTGGACCCAGTAGCATGGAGAGATTCAGGTTCAGTCCCTTTGGCAAGACTGTAAATGTGTTGTGTGTTCTTTTATCACATCAGTGCAGGTTTGTATAAGGTCTAGGTTTCATTTTACCCTATTTAACCAGCTCATGATTAGCCTGTTAGTGTTTCATATTCAGACTTCATAGAGCTTCCTTTGTTTTGTTTCAAGTAGTATAGAAATAAATATAGTGGCTTCCTTTCTGAGATATCCTGGTTTGTAAATCACCCCGTCCTCCCCCCCCACCCACTTTTACTTGGGGCCATCTCTTTTCTTCATTTCTGCCGTCGTTATCTTGTTCAATTTGGATTCCCTCCCCAGTAGTGTTTTCTCAGTGTGGTGGCCCTGTCTATGGAAGGAGCCTTGGCTAGTTGCATGAATTTATAAGACTTGACTTCTCCAGCTCATTTGGGCCTCACTGGGGACCCTTTGCAGTAGATCAAATCCCCCCAGTTTCAGTTGTTCTCAAATTGTCCCACCTTGCTTTTCATTTAGCACTTGCTTTTCTTGTGGTGCTTCTGTTCCCTGGTCCATTAGGTGCATTCTTTTTTCCCTCTGGGTTGATCTGCTTATATGGCGCTCATGTTTTAGGACTATTGATGTTTTTTTTTTTTTTTTTTCCTTCCTGCTTTGTATAGGGGGATTTATGAGGATGCTGTATCTCCCAGTTTTGTTTTTTTTTTTTTTTTTTTTTTTTTAATAGAGGCATGCTTTATTTATTTATTTGTTTGTTTGTTTTGTTTATACATGCACTGGGTACAGTCAGAAGCGCGGAGGGTGAGAGAATTCACCAGAGCCAGAGCGGGGAGCAGAGCAGGCAGAAGGCCGAAGTACACTGCTGAGGGAGCAGCGGGCGGCAGGAGAGGTCTGCGCGCCATGTGGGACCCTCCTCCAGTGGCCGGGGAGCAGCCGGGGATCGAACCGGCGCCACAGAGGCTGCGGGCAGCTTCGCAACCCAGTGCTCAACCGCTGCGCCACAGGGGAGGCCCCAGTTTTGTTTTAAATGTTATCCATATGCTTTTCTGTGTTGCTGTCTAGTTGCTGTATTTATTTTTATGTGGGTGTTCAGGATTATCAAAAGACTGGTCCCACTGCTGTAGCCATTTTCCAGAATCCCCATTGTAGAAAGATGATGCAATCATGCGTAGAATGGTAGATTTCACCTAACATTTTATATAGCATAGTGTGTGGTCTCTTTGTCCTATGTTTGTTCTTTAGCTTTTTTCCTCTCCAAATTTGTGTTACCAGCTACAGTACATATTCAGCAGCTCCCCATGGAAATAAATAGTTTCTATCATCTCTCTTTTTAGGTTCACTAAGAATCTTTCCCCGGATAAAATCAATTTAAGCACCCTGAAAGGGGAAGGTCAGCTGACCAATCTGGAGCTGGATGAAGAGGTTCTACAGAATGTGCTGGAGCTGCCCACATGGTTAGCCATCACTAGGGTCTACTGCAACAGGGCTTCCATCCGGGTGAGAATGGGAATCAGAATGTTCTTGCTTTCTGGCCAGCTGGTCTGCCTTCTTGAGGGTGGCTCCCATAACCTTGCCTCTTTGCTTTCTTATTTTTCTTTTTTCTATTTCAGATCCAATGGACAAAGCTGAAGACACATCCTATTTGCTTGGTAATGGCCTTTCATGATTATAAGTAATCAGATAGACTTGTGGTAGAGTTTTAAAAGATCTGAGAGAAGATAGAGTCCTGTTCCTTTTAGGAGTTGAGGAAGCTTCTCTCTGGCCTGTGAGCTTCTCCCTGAGACAGTGACTATTATACCTAGAACTATTACCTGAACTATTATTCTAGAAATATTGTGCAGTATACAATTAATACTGAGACCCAAGATCCAGGAGTTCTGAGTTGTTTTGTTTGTTTTTCATAACAAGTTTTACTGCCCTTTATCCCTTGGAATAAAGATTTCCCCTTTATCCCTTGGAATCCTGACATAGAAAAAATTAGAAGTTTAGTTCATGTTGACTTTTAGGTGCTTATCATATGAAAGTCTTTCACAAATTGGTTGATGCATGAGATACTGAAATCCTTAGGAATAGTACTAGCTCTCTAACTTGCATTTATGTTTTAGTTTTCTGTTGTCAGCTAATCCTATCCTCGTCAGGGAGTTCTTCTGATACTTACTTAGCTTTTCATGGCTTTTTTTTCAGTGTCTGGATAAGGTGGAGGTGGAGATGAAGACATGTGAGGAGCCTCGACCCCCAAATGGACAGTCTCCTATTGCTCTCGCTTCAGGACAGAGGTTAGTTGCTTTTGGTTCCTATAATTTCCAATTATTAACTGATCCAGGTCACCTTTTAGTTAAAAAATAAAACTTTTTTTCTTATGTATGTATACACACACACACATATATATTACATCATTGTTCATTTTTGTACAATCTATACTTTCTCCTCTCAGGTGTGTCCCCAAAAAATTCCCACCACCGGTTCACCTGTGAGCCATCACTATTGTCCCTTGTGCGCTTCCCTCCCGTGTTTTGATCACTCTGCCTCCCCATCCCTTGCAGAATGTCTCTGATTTATAGTTGCTTGCTAATTTTGTTTATTTATTATTATTGTTATTTTTTTTCCTGATCCCTTGTTTGGTTTCCCTATATTCCTCCTATAAATGAAACCATCCAATATTTTTCTTTTGCTTTCTGGCTTATTTCACTGAACATAATCCATTCCAGCTCCATCATGTTGTTGTGAATGGCTTGAGCTTATCTTTTTCGATTGCTGAATACTATTCTATTGTGTATATATACCACATCTTCTTGATTTAGTCATCTATTTTTGGGCATTTGGGTTATTTCCATATCTTACCTATTGTAAATAATGCAAGAAGCATAGGGGTACAGGTGTCCTTTTGAGTTAATGTTTTGTGTTCTTTGGGTAGATTCCTAGGAGTGGCATTGCTGAGTCATAGGGTAGATCTACTTTTAGTAATCTGAGGAATCTCCAGACAGCTTTCCATAGTAGTTGGACCAGTTTACATTCCCACCAGCCAACATTTATTGTAGCCTGTTTTTTTTTTTTTAATATCTGCCCTTCTCACTGGTGTAAGGTGGTATCTCATTATGGTTTTGATTTGTACGTCCCTGCTTATAAGTGATGTTGAAATTTTTTCATATACCTTTTGGCCATTTGCATTTCCTCTTTGGAGAAGTGTCTTTTTAGCTCTTCTGCCCATTTTTTGACTGGACTGTTTGCTTTGCTTTTGTTTAGTTGTGTAAGCTCTTTGTATATCTTTGTGATCAGTCCCTATTCAGTTGTATTAAAAAAGTAAAACTTTTTTTTTAATCCAGTAACTTGATGGATATTTTATTTTCAGTTTTGGCTATTGTGAATAATACTGTTATGAATATTTATATACATGCATTTTTATTTCTTTTGAGTATAAAAAGTAATATGAAGACATGTGAGGAGCCTCAGTAATATGGTAGGTGAGGATTTCAGCTTTTAAGAGACTTTTCCAGAGTGACTTACTGTTTTGCATTCTTTTTACATTTAATGTACTTTTACATTTCACATTTTTTATACCCTTCATTTGTATTTACTTTTAAAGTGTTTGTTGTACATTGAACTTTATTGTCTTTTTGCTATTCAGATGTCCTCATTTTTGGCCAAAGCCTTTCAAACTCAACTTTTTTTTTTTAATATTTGTTTATTTATGCATACAAGAGCTGGGGTACAGGCCATAGGTGTGGGGGGTGAGAGGATTTACCAGAGACAGAGTGGGGAACAGAACAGGCAGACTGAAGAAATACACTGCTGAGGGGAGCAGCGGGCGGCAGGAGAGGTCTGCTGCGCCATGTGGGTTTCTCCCTGTTCGTCCGAACTCATGCTGCAGAGGCTGCAGATTGTTTCATAGCTTATGTCTTAACCCCTGCGCCACCATGGAGGCCCCCAAACTCAACTTTTGTGTCCTTAGGACAAAACCCTAGTAATCTTCATCCTTTTAGACAGATGAAGATGTTGCTGATTTCTTTGTGCCTCCTTATCCCAGATCTGGAATCAGCATTTCTCCAGGGAACCCATGTCTCTTTTAGTGAGCAATGCCATTTGTAGTGTATAGACTGAGCAAAATTGTATTCATCGAACTGTTACTGCTTAAGGCCTTTTCAGTATTCAGTTCTAGAGAAAAGGTATTTTTTTTTTTTTACAAAGTCATTTTTTTAAAAGATTTATTTATTTATGCATTCAAGAACTGGGGTACAGGCCAGAGGTGCGGGGGATGAGAGTATTCACTAGATATAGAGCGGGGAACAGAACAGGCAAACTGACTGAAATAGACTGCTGAGGGGAGCAACAGGTGAGACAGGAGAGGTCTGCTGTGCCATGTGGCTAGTTCCCTGTCTGGCCAGGGATTGAACTTGGGCTGCAAAGGCTGCCCATAGCTTCACAGTGCTGTGCTTAAACCCTTGTGCTACCAGGGAGGCCCAAGAAAAGGTATTTTTAAGAAAGAAAAATAAAATAAATTATGATACCACCTTGATATTTTTATTTTTATTTATTTATTTTAAAAGATTTATTATTTATTTATTTATTTATGCAAGCACTGGGTACAGTCAGAAGTGCGGGAGGATGAGAGAATTCACCAGAGCCAGAGCAGGGAGCAGAACAGGCAGAAGGACCGAAGTACACTGCTGAGGGGAGCAGCGGGCGGCAGGAAAGGTCTGCGCACCATGTGGGACCCACCTCCGGTGGCCGGGGAGCAGCTGGGGATCGAACCGGCACTGCAGAGGTGGCGGGCAGCCTCGCAACCTAGCACTCAAGCGCTGCGCCACCAGGGAGGCCCACACCTTGATATTTTTAAATTAGAAAGAGATTTGTGTTAACTTTCTGATTTAAGATTTATATTTTTATTGATATTCTTATTCTTGGTTCTGAACAATAATAATATAACAAATGATTTACTTTTTGATATTTTCAAGAAATAAAACCAATTTTATAGCTGTTGCTAAGACTGCTGCAAGAAGTAGATTAATGTGTATGTGTGCTTTATCCTTATGATATATACCATTAAGAATATATGTTCAAAATCCTGTGTTTTAAAGTCACTTGGAGAAAAAAAGGTGTGAAAAATAATTTGTCACTTGAAGTCATTCTTTATATAGCTGGATATCAATTTGACATAGAGAAGTTTTAGGGTTTTTTAAATTTAAAAAAAATTTTTTTTTTAAACATTTTTTTTATAGAGGCATGTTTATTTATTTATTTATTTATTTATTTAGTTTTGTTTGTTTGTTATACATGCACTGGATACAGTCAGAAGTGCGGGAGGGTGAGAGAATTCACCAGAGCCAGAGCGGGGAGCAGAGCAGGCAGAAGGACCGAAGTACACTGCTGAGGGGAGCAGCGGGCGGCAGGAGAGGTCTGCGCGCCATGTGGGACCCTCCTCTGGTGGCCGGGGAGCAGCCGGGGATTGAACCGGCGTCGCAGAGGCCGCGGGCAGCCTCGCAACCCAGCGCCCAACTGCTGCGCCACCGGGGAGGCCCTTTAAAAATTTTTTAAAGATTTATTTATGCATACAAGAGCTGGGGTATAGGCCTGAGGTGTAGTGGGTGAGAGAATTCACCAGAGACAGAGTGGGGAACAGAACAGATGCATTGAGTGGGCAGGAGAGGTCTGCTGTGCCATGTGGGTCACCTCCCTGGTCAGGGATTGAACTCATGCTGCAGTGGCTGCAGGTAGCTTCATAGTGCTGCATCCTAACCCCTTGTACCACCAGGGAGGTCCAAAGTTTCATTTTTTAATGTAATTTTTTACAAGTCATTTTTGTTTCATAATAATATTGAGAGGAATGTACAGAGATTTCCCATATACCACATGCTCTCACACATGCATAGCCTCCCTGTTATAAAGGTCGCCTACCAGAATAGTACATTTGTTACAGTAGATGAACCTACACTGACAAGTCATAATCACCCAAAGCCCATAGTTTACACTAGGGTTGTCTCTTGGTGCTGCATCTCATAGATTTAGACAAATGTATCATGACATATTTCCATCATTATTGTGTCATATAGTATATTTTCACCTCCTAAAGCTCTTCCTATTCACACCTCTTCTTATCTCCCACCTCCAATCCTGGCAACTCCTGGCAACCCCTGGTCTTTTATCTGTCTCTATAGTTTTTCTAGAATGTCATATATTTGGGATCATACACTATTTCATCTTTTCAGATTGGCTTCTTTCACTTGATAATATGCATTTAAGTTCTTCCGTATCTTTTCACGATGTTATAGCTCTTTTTTTTTCCTTTTTAAGCACTGAATAATACTTGATTGAGCGTATCACAAATTCATTTATTTATTTTAAAATATTTATTTATACAAGCTGGGGTATAGGCCAGAAGTGCGGGAGAGTGAGAGGATTCACAAGAGGCAGAGCAGTGAGGAGATGACAGAAATACACTGCTGAGGGGAGCAGCGGGCACCACAGGCGAGGTCTGCCATGCCTAACCAGTCTTCTACTGAAGGACATCTTGGTTGCTTTCAAATTTTGAATTATTAATTACCTGCTATAAATGCCCATGTCAGGCCTTTGTGTGGTCATTAAGTTTTCAATCTTTGAGTAAATATGAAGGTGCATAATTACTGGATCATAGATGTGTTTAGTTTTGGAAGAAACCATCAAACTATCTACTGGAGTGGTTGTACCATTTTTCATTCTTCAAGCATTTGAATGAGAGGTCTTTCTGCTCCATATCTTTGCCAGTTTGTGGAGGTGTCAGTGTTTCTGATTTTTGCCATTCTGATAGGTGTGTAGTGAAATCTTATTGCTGTTTTAATTTGCATTTCCCTGGTCACACATGATAGGGAGTGTTTTTTCACATGTCTCTTCATCTCTGTAATTTCTTTGGTGAGATAGTAATTGTCTTTGGCCCATTTTTAAAATGGGGATGTTTGTTATTGTTTAGTTTTAAGAGGGTTTTTTGGGGGGGATTATATTTTGGATAATTGTCCTTTACCAGCTATATCTATTGCAAATATTTCCCCCCGATCTGTGAGTTATCTTCTCATTCTCTTGACTTTGTCTTTCACAGGGCAGAAAATTTTAATTTCAGTAAGTTAACTTATCCATTATTTCTCTCATGAATTGTGCCTTTGGTGTTATATCTAATAAGCCATTGCTATATACAAGGTCATAGATTTTCTCCTATGTTATATTCTAGGAGTTTATATCAATTTGTTTTAAATTTTCAAATTAGTTTTTATTTGTAACTATATAAAATTACATAAAAACTATAAAACTTAAAAACTATAAAACAAGGTATGTTATATATATGTATATTTATGTTGTCTTCATCTCCTTTCTTATATAAAATACAGCATTTTATAGCAAAATGTAGCAATTTCAGAATTGCTATTTTCTTTAAAAGTATATTCTGTAGGGCCTCCCCTGGTGGCGCAGCGGTTGAGCACTGGGCTGCGAGGCTGCACCGCAGGCTGCAGCGCCAGTTCGTTCCCCGGCTGCCAGCGAGGGTCCCACAAAAGAAAAAAAAAAAAAAGGAAAAGTATATTCTGTAGATATCTTCATGGAAGAATATAAAAAGATGTCCCATATTCCTTTTGCACCTCCAGAATCCTCAGAATTTTTTCTTAGAGTTTTCATAATTTATATAGCCAGTTCTCTATTGATATATATATATATATATATGAATTATTTTTAGGTTTTTGCTGTTACAAACATTGCAGTAATAAATGACCTTGTTCATAAGTCACTTAGTATTTTTCCAACATATTTTTAGAAGCAGCTTTATTGAGATATAATTTGCATATCATAGAATTCATCCATTTGAAGCATAAAATTCAGTGGTTTTTCAGTGTGTGTGTGTGTATATATATATACACACACACACACCAACTTGTGCAACCATCACCACATTCAATTTTAGAACATTTTCATCACCCAAAAAGAAACACCAAACCTATTAGTAGTCATTTCCATTCTCCCCTGTGTTGGCCCTGGGCAACCACTCATCTTTCTTTATTCTCATAATTGTGACAGTTTTGATCTTTGTGATTGGCACCTTTCATTTAGTATGCTAATTTCAAAGTTCAGTTATGTTGTAGATTGTATTTCTATTTCATTCTTTTTTATGACTAAATGATAGATACTCTGTTGTATGGCTGTTTATTATTTATCCATTCATCAGTTGATGGACAATTTGCATTGCTTGCACTTTTGCTAGCCTCTTTTGGGATAGATTCATAGATGTAGACTGCTGAGTCAAAGGGCAAATGTATATGTATTTTTTTTTATGATTTGTTTTTTATTTATTTATGCATCCAAGAACTGGGGTGTAGGTCAGAGGTGTGGGGGAGGGGTGAGAGGATTCACCAGACAGAGTAGGGAGCAGAACAGCTGGATCTACTGAAATAAACGCTGAGGGGGGCAAGCAGGTGAGACAAGAGAGGTCTGCTGTGCTATGTGGGTTTAGCTCCCCTGCTGGGGATGGAGCTCAAGCCACAGTGGCTGGCGATAACTTGATAAGGCTCAGACTTGAACCCCTGCACTACCAGGGAGGTCCCCTGCATGTGTAATTTTGATGCATATTGTTAAATTCCATAAAGATTCTATAAAATTTTATAATTTTATCACCAGAAATGGCTAAGAGTTCTTTTTTTCCTAGAGTTTTGCAATATAAAATATATCATCAAACTGTAGGATTTTTGCCTAATCTGATGACATTATTTCAATGTTGGTTTTTTTTTTTTTTTGGTAACATATTGAAGTGCACAAATTAAAAGCAAACAGCACAGTGATTCTTTTTTTTTTATATGTTTATGCTGTTATTTCATTTATTTATTTGTGCATACAAGAACTGGGGTGTAGTGCTGCGGACCAGCACAGCAGTAGACGATGAGGCCACCTCAGGGTTGAGAGAAGCATGCAGGGTGGTCAGGGCGTCGGTGAAAGAAATGACAAACAGACACACTTCAAGAGTGAAAATCTGAGTGTAATTTTCTTTGAGTTTGTGACTGGTATATATATGTTTTCCAAAGGCACAGGAACAATGAATATCAATGAAATCAGCTTGCTCATGGGCTCAGCCTATCACCAACAGGGCGGTGATCTACATCTGGACTCAGCCTCATTCCTAAGTAGATAGACCATTAGTTTTGTTTTTAAACTATATAATCGCATTTTTTATTAACTACTTTTTTACCTAAACTATATTTTAATTATTACAGGGTTTAGTAATGTTTCATTTGAGTCAGCCTTGTTTTAAGGATTTCATATGATTTTTTAATTAACAAGCAAAGACCTTTATAGAAGAAAGAAGGAAGTTTAGAAAGACAATAAGGGATTAAAGTTTGTAGTTCTAGAAAGACGGGATAAGGTTTTTTAGCATTCTTGTAGTGGTTCCTGGTGGTCGTTATCTTTTGATAAGCTTCTGTCTTTTCAGGGAACTTCCGCTGTACTTCCCCTGCTTCAGGGTGTTTTGCTGTTCTCCCCCTGTGCGCTGGTTGCCCAGCCGGACCTAGGGACGGTTAGCCCTAAAGGTCACTGCAGGGGGAGGTGCAGCAGTGTAGGCCAGAGGTGGGGGTGTGTGTGTGTGTGAGAGTGGATTCACCAGAAAGAGTGGGAAGCAGAACAGGCAGATCCACTGAAGTACACTGCTGAGGGGAGCAGTGAGTGAGATGGGAGAGGTATGCTGCACCACGTTTGTAACTCCCTGGCCCACTGGGGATTGAATTTATGCCTCAGTGGCTGGCAGTAGCTCAATAGTGCTGTGTCTTTAACCCCTGCACCAACAGGGAGGCCCCAGCACAATGATTCTTTACAATGTTAACATATCAAAAAAGAGACTATTTCTAGAATTCCAAAAGTCTCCCATAACCTTTCTAGACCTACTCACCACCAAGGATAATTTTTATCTGGATTTTTAACACCATGTATCTTGTTCACTGTTTTTAAAGTTATACAAATGTATAACTTTATATTTGGCAGTGTAGAGGTAGTACTCTTGTTGACTAGATAGCAGTAACCCTCATGCTTACCTGGCTCTACTTTTTCCTCTTTCTACTACTTTTGCAGAATATCTCAATCTTTGAAGATTTTATAGAAATTTAGTATTTTCTTCTGTAGTTATCACCTCCCTTTGCAGATAATACCCAAATATTTATTCAGGTAGTGTGTAGACTGTAAAAAGATTTTTGGATTTATTTTTTCTAACAGGAGGGAGTTTTTTTAGATTAACTGTCATTTATTCTACTCTTTAAGGAAAAAAATCCCATTAAAAGAGTATGACATCATCATTAACAATTTTAAATACTTAAAAGATACGAGACAAGACAGCTCTTCTGCCTGCTGGTGACTATGCAGGTGCCTCTTTTTCTCTTGTTCCTTTTCCTAGTAAACCCGTCCTTTCAAAATATAAAAAAAGGATGAGAAAGTAGAAATGGGAAGGGGAGGAGAGAGATTGAAAAAAAAAAAACACAACAAAAAAACCAACCCACCGATGGTTCTAGCATCCAGAGTCAGGTACTCTTAATAAGCTTGTCTGATGTCTTCTAGCCATAAAGCTTGCATAATTCTGATCATTGGTCTGCTTCATTTGTTGTAGCGAGTATGGCTTTGCTGAGAAGGTGGTGGAGGGGATGTTCATCATCGTCAATTCTATCACCATCAAGATTCACTCCAAGGCCTTCCATGCATCTTTTGAATTGTGGCAGCTCCAGGGCTATAGTGTCAACCCCAACTGGCAGCAGAGTGACCTTCGCCTTACCCGTATCACTGACCCCCGCCGAGGAGAGGTAACAGCCTTAGCATTGCAAGAAGAGGGAATGGGAGGATTCAAGTATGACCAGTTCTTTAAGGGTATTATTCCTACTTTGGGGATTTCTTCAGATGTTACCCCCATTCCTGAAAACCTAAGAATCCCTTCTGTCCAGTATTACTGTTATAATCTTCCCTCATTTATGGATCTCTGATTTACCAAATATATTGGTAGAATCTCAACTGAGAATGTTGGGAGTCTCTGCCTTGTCACTCTTTTCATCTTGGTTCATTTCATCTTCAGCATTAAGGGCATTTACTTCTGTCCTTCCAGGTTTTAACGTTCAAGGAAATTACTTGGCAAACTCTTCGGATTGAGGCAGATGCTACAGACAACGGTGATCAGGACCCAGTCACCACTCCACTGAGGCTTATTACTAACCAGGGAAGGATCCAAATAGCTCTCAAAAGAAGAGTGAGTGTGTTCTCTGTTTTTATGAACACCTTTATCCCCCCTTTTTATCCACTTTTTATCCCCTCCGCCAACCCGGGGAGTTTATTTTTCTTTTTGTTATTGGCCCCTAGAGTGACAATTGAGCAGGGAGGGTCTGCACTTCAGTGTTTCTGCCTCCCTATCATCTTAATTTTGGAAACTTTTTACCCATATATAGGGACACTGGCATCAGTACCTGGCCATTTACTATTGCTGCTGCTTGTTAATCACAGAAAACTTTAGTAGTTGTATTTATTTATTTTTTTTTCTTTTCTTTTTTTTAAGATTTATTTATTTATGCATACAAGAACTGGGCCACAGGCCAGAGATGTGGGGGAGTGAGAGGATTCACCATAGACAGAGTGGGGAGAGGATTCACGGGGCCGGAGAGGTCTGCTACACCATATGGGTCTCCTCCCCGGCTGGGGATTGAACTCATGCTTCTGTGGCTGTGGATATCTTCATAGGCTATGTCTCAACCCCCTGCGCCATCAGGGAGGCCCTTTATTTATTTATTTTTTAAGATTTATTTTATTTATGCATGCATATAAGAGCTGGGGTGTAGGCCAGAGATGCAGGGGGTGAGAGGATTCACCAGACAGAGTGGAGAGCAGAACAGGCAGCTCTACTGAAATACACTGTTGAAGGAAGCAGCAGGTGAGACAAGAGAGGTCAGTGGTGCCATGTGGGTAGCTCCCTTACTGGGGATTGAACTGGTGCTGTAGTGGCTGCAGATTACTTCATAGTGCTGAGACTTAACCCTTGTGCTATGAGGGAGGCCCAAGTTTAGTAGTTTTATAAGAAACTGACTCTCAAAAGTGTTTGATATTTTCCTTTCACATACTGGGGATTAAAAGGCCATCTCTGAAACTGATAATCACTTTGAGGAGTTGGAGTGATACAAGATATTGAACCTTGTGTTCTGTGTGGCCCCTTTAGACCAAAGATTGCAATGTGATAGCCTCCAAGCTGATGTTCCTGTTGGATGACCTGCTCTGGGTGCTAACCGACTCTCAGCTCAAGGCTATGATGAAGTATGCAGAGTCGCTGAGTGAGGCCATGGAGAAGTCAGCCCAGCAGAGAAAGAGCCTGGCCCCTGAACCTGTGCAGGTTAGAGGCTAAACAGTCATCCTTGGTATGGCTGGAAGATGGTAGGCCAGACCTAATTCATACTAACATAGATAGAGTCTAAATCTTGGATTATTTGGGGGATCTGTCATTTACTTTTGGACAGGCATAGGTTTTGCCTGTGCCTCTGATTTATTCATTTATTCTGCTCACTGCTCACTAGGTGTCTCCAGCCTCTTGTTCTGGTCCTTGGAATACTTAATGTTTTGAAATATAAAACATGAACAAGTTATTATAGTATGACATTATAGTATTATAGTATGACATGACATGTATAGTATACAGCACATGTGTACTGTAATGGAAGTAAATATTATGTTTTATTATTATGTATTATTGTTATGTAACAATACAAACATTATATATTATATAAACATCATGAAAGCAAGAAGAAAAGGCATCTAATTATTGAAAGAAGGCACTTAGGGAAGATTTCCTGGAGGAGGTGTTTTTGTATTAATCAGGTAAGTCCTGGGAAGTTAAAAGCTTGGATGATAGTTCAGACTTCAGCACAGTATTCTGACAGATACTAGACTCATTATAATTAGGCTTTTTAGAGTTCAGGCTGGTTTTTTAGACTTTTTAGAGTGGAGTAGCCTAAGTGAGTACCTAGATGAACAGTTTTACAAAGAAAGGGGCATCTTGCTTAAGTTGTGGGTCTTCAGGTTGGACTAAAACTTAAAGTCTGTGAAGGAGTCTCTCAGGCTCTGGACTTATTGTTTTTCTCTCTGTCACACATAGATAACTCCACCTGCTCCCAGTGCCCAGCAGTCCTGGGCCCAGGCATTTGGCAGCAGCCAGGGCAGCAGCAACAGCAGCAGCAGCCGCCTCAGCCAGTATTTTGAGAAATTTGATGTGAAAGAGTCTTCCTACCATCTGCTCATCTCCCGCCTGGACCTGCACATTTGCGATGATAGCCAATCCCGTGAGCCAGGTATCCTGTGAGGTCTGAACCTGGTCAGGGTGGCCTATCATTGCCTTCAGCTCTTGGTAAAACTTAGGGGGAGGGCTCTTTTCCAGAGACACTGTGGCCTACTTGGTTGGCTTCCCTTAGTCAGGCATTTCTTGGGTCTCAACTGTCCTGTTACAGCTCTTTTTGTGTTAGTGTAAGGCCATGCTCTTGAGCCTTTAGGGTACATCAGAACCGCATGTAATACTTAATAAAGACATTGGTACGCTACCTAAATCCCATGAAAGTAGACTCTTCATGGGGGAGTCCAAACAACCTATTTTTTCCCCCCTAAGTCCTTTGGGCATGTTTTTTCCATGCAGAAAGGTTATGCTGTATTCTTGTCATTGCTTTTCAGTTGGTATTACATGCAAATATGTGTTTATTCAGAATGAAAAAGTAATTAATTCATTTCTTTGTGAGTGTTGGGGAAATAACCTCTTGCCTAACTTTTTGATTCTCTTAACTGGTAAACTTGAGTTAAATCATATCCTACTTATTTATCTCTTAGGTTGTTGTCAGGCTCAAATGAGATATATACTGAAGTTGGATGACCTTAGTGGCAGATATTAAGTATTACTCTGCTGCTTGTTCTTTCAGTACTCAGTGTTTCCTCTATACTTGCTTTTGCCCGCAGTTCTTGGTTTTAGATATTGTCACATGGTAGATTTGTCTCTGACTGCCTTCCTCCCTCCTAAGGTTATGTTTCTCTCTCTCTCTTTTTAAAGATTTATTTATTTATGCATACAAGAACTGGGGTACAGGCCAGAGTTGCGGGGGATGAAAGGACTCACCAGAGACAGAGTGGAGAGCAGAACAGGTAGACTGACAAAATACACTGCTGAGGGGAGCAGCGGGTGAGACAGGAGGTCTGCTGTGCCATGTGGGTAGCTCCCTGGAATGGCCAGAGATTGAACTCGTGCTGCAGAGGCTGCTGATAGCTTCACAGTACTGTGCTTAGCCCACTGCGCCACCAAGGCCCTATGTTTGTCTCTTAATGAAACCTAGACTAACTTCCCTTGGGGAACCTATCTTTCTTTTTCTTCCTGGGGCAGTCCTTTGCTTACTTGACTATTCCTTGGACTTGAAGTGACTTTAGTCCCCTCTGCGTCCACTCTGAGAAAGCAGACAGAAGCAGTGACAACATAAAGATTACTTTTGCCATCACAGGGGATAATAAACACTTGTTTCTTCCAAGTGTTACTCTAGAGTCTCTGGGTTTTTGTTTGTGATCTTCTCAGAAGTCTTTATTAAGAGTACGTATTGAGAGTTTTATCCTCTTGCTTGATTGGGGGGGGGTGTATAGTTCTTTCCTCTACCTGTGGTAGGGTCCTGTATCCACAATATCAAGTGAATGACCATAGCCTTCCTTGTAGCCCCCATTTATTTACTAAACTAACTTAGTCTACTTGGTGGAATTTAAAGACCTCTTTATTTTTTAGATAGGGGGTAACTCCTATCCTATGAAGCCAAGTATGGATATGACTAGGAGATGGAGGATTCTTATAACTTTGCTTTTCCTCCTTGGATTTGGGAGGGAGAACTAGGTGTACAGAAAGAGCTTTAAAGTTCAAAACAACTTTGAAGTTGTTTTGTCTGATATGGTAGCCATTTAGTTATATGTGATTATAATAGAATTGAAATATTGGCTGATCCAAGTTGAGATGTGCTGCAAGTCTACCATACATACAGGACTTGAGGATAAAGAGCAAAGAGATAATTATTGATATCTTGATAATTATTTTCATACTGGTTACATGTTAAAATAATATTTTGTATATATTACTTTAAATAACCTGCACTACTAAAATTAACTTCACTTTTTAACTCTTTTTTCATGTGGCTACTATAAAACTTACAATTATTTATGTGACTCACATTATATTTCTGTTGTATTTACTCTAAAATTCTCTGTCCAACATGGCATCCACTAACTACATGTGGCTATTTAGAATTAAACAAAATTTAAAATTCTAGTTCTTCACTTGTACCAGCTACATTTCAAGAGCTAAATATAATCTATAAACTATAGAACTTGTCTGTTATCACAAAATATTTTTTTGTGTGTCCATCATCACAGAAGTCTCTCCTTTAGAGACTCCTCAAAGGCTATATCTACCTACCTTTCCATTAAGGGACACTATAACTTAGATGTTGCGACCTCTGGCTAATTCACTCACCTATCCTTTGATACTGGAGGTGAATTTATTGGAAACTAGGTAGGTCATTGGCTTGAGGTGGGGCAGCATTGTCACTTAAAATCAAATTGGATTCGGGCCTCCCCGGTGGCGCAGCGGTTGAGCGCTGGGTTGCGAAGCTGCCCGCAGCCTCTGCGGTGCCGGTTCGATCCCCGGCTGCTCCCCGGCCACCGGAGGAGGGCCCCACATGGCGCACAGACCTCTGCTGCCGCCCGCTGCTCCCCTCAGCAGTGTACTTCGGTCCTTCTGTCTGCTCTGCTCCCCGCTCTGGCTCTGGTGAATTCTCTCACCCTCCCGTGCTTCTGACTGTACCCAGTGCATGTATAAACAAAACAAACAAACAAACAAATAAATAAATAAAACATGCCTCTATTAAAAAAAAATCAAATTGGATTCTTGACATTGGTCTTGGTGATGATTTTTTGGATTTTACACAAAAAAACAATGGCAAAAAATACGAAAATAAACAAGTGGAACTCCATCAAACTTAAAAGCTTCTGTGCAACAAAGGGAAACATCAAGAAACTAAAAAAGCAGTATACTGAGTGGGAGAAAATATTTGCAAATCATATATCTGAGAAGAGTTGTAAAATATATAAAGAACTCAGACAACTCAATAGCAAAAACAAAAATCCAATCCAGTTAAAAAATGGGCAGAGGATTGATTGGAATGTACATTTTCCCAAAGAAGACATACAGATGGGCAAGAGAGGTCTGAAAAGATGTTCAACATTGTCAATAATCAGGGAAATGCAAATAAAAACCACAGTGTTATAGCACTGCACACCTTAGAATGGCAAATAGAAAATACTAAAGAGTTAGTGTTGCCAAGGATGTCAGGAGAAAGGAATCTGGCAAGAATGTAAATTGGTATAGTCACATGGGAAATAGCATGGCAGTTCCTCAATTAATTAAAAACAGAGCTACCATATGATCCAGCAATTCCACTACTGGGTATTTATCTGAAGGAAATTAAAATGCTATCTTGAAAAGATGCATGTTCATTACAGCACTGTTTATAATAGACAAAATGTGGAACATGACAAGTAAGTGTTTATCAGTAGATGAATGGATAAAAAGCATGTGCTATACATATATACAATGGAATATTATTCAGCCATGCAAAAACGGGATTGTTTTACCATTTGTGACAACATGTATGGGCCTTAAGGATATTATGTGAAGTGAAATAACTTAGAGGAAGACAAATACTGCATGATTTCACTTATTTGTGGAAACTAAAAACAAATTAAAAAAAATCCTGTCTCATAGATACAGAGCATAGATCAGTGGTTGCCAGAGGGAGGTGGGGGTATGTGTAATGATAGTAAAATGGGTAAAGACTGTCAAAAACTACAAACATCTGATTTAAAATAAATTACTGGTAGGATATAATGTATAGCATTGTGACTATAATTACTAATCTGTGTTACAATATTTAAAAGTTGCTAACCGAACAAATCTTAAAAGTTCTCATCCAAGAAAAAAATGAGTAATTTTGTAGTGATGGCTTTTAGCTAAACTTGTGGCGGTCATTTCATAGTATATACAAATATCGAATCATCATGTTGTACACTTGAAACCAGTATAACGTTATGTGCCAATGGTATCTCAGTAAAAAAGAAATCAAGCTACAATAGCTCAAAATGCTTCAGAGAGGAGGTTGGCGCTTGATGTGGGGGAGGTGGAAGTTTTTTCACTGTTATCCATCAGGATAAGGCCTGTGAGTCAAAAAAATTTCTCTGTTAAGGCCTGCTATCCTTTTCTCATCAGTTCATTGAAGAATTTTAATTAGTCACTGTTTACCATTTATATCTCACATATAATTATGTGTTTATATTTAAATATGCTGCCAAATGTTTGCAGTTGGTAGTTATATTTTATTTCAATGCTAGACATTGCTTTTCTACTCTCAATCTGTGTAGTTTGTTGTTCTTTTTTTTTTTGCTACAAATAATCCAATTAAAGTATCATGGCTCTGAAATGCTTTCCCACCAGTAGCCTGATCATACTTTTTTAACTGGGATGGTGTTAACCTCCAAGCAAGTTAGAATTGGCTATTTTCTTTCTTTCTTTTTTTTTAAAGGGTTTATTTATTTATGCATACAAGAGCTGGGATATAGGCCAGAGATGCGGGGGTGAGAGGATTCACTGAGACAGAGTGAGGAACAGAACAGGCAGATTGACCGAAGTACACTGCTGAGGGGAGCAGTGGGTGAGTCAGGAGAGGTCTGCTGTGCCATGTGGGTTGCTCCCTGGCCGGCCAGGGATCGAACTTGTGCTGCAGAGGCTGCAGATTGCTCCATAGTGCGGTGCTTAACCCCTTGCGCCACCAGGGAGGCCTTCTTTTTGTTTTTTTTAAAGATAAGATTACTTATGCATATAAGAGCTGGGGTATAGGCCAGAGGTATGGTGGGTGAGAGGATTCGCCAGAGATAGAGCTGGAACAGAACAGGTAGACCGAATGAAATACACTGCTGAGGGGAGCATCTGGTGAATCAAGAGAGGTCTGCTGTGCCACGTGGGTTGCTCCCTGGCCAGCCAGAGATCACAAACTCCTGCTGCAGAGGCTGCGGATTGCTTCATAGTGCTGCATCTTAACTCCTTGCGCCACCAGGGAGGCCCGGCTCTTTTCTTTTAAACAACTATACTGAGGTATGATTCACAGATCATAAAGTCACCCATTTAGAATATACAATTTATGTTCTAGAGTAATAGAATATACAATATACTTTTTTTCTAGTATGTCCATTGGATTGTGTACAGTCATCACCACAGTCTAATTTTAAGACACTTTTGACTGCAAAAGAAAACCTGTAATCCATTAGCTGTCACTTTTCATTTTGCAGCCATAACCAACTACTGATCTACTTTTTGTCTTGATATTTGCTTATTTTGGACATAAACAAATGTGTGTGGAAAAAAATCATATATATTTAACAATGGTTTATGGTTCCCCAAAGCATAGCCTTGCCTGATAGAATTTTGCCCCTTTGGTTTCTCTCACAGGATTTTCTTGTACAGTACATGAATAGCATTGATATTGAGTTTATGGAAGATACCCAAAATGTGAGAAAGGTCAGTGTTAGAAACATGGTGAATGGATGACTGAATGGAAGACGTTCTCAATCCTTTGTTCTACCTCAAAGTCATATAGCCAGAGATGGCCTGTGCATGCCAGCTAGCTGCCATTGGTTGCTTTGTCAGTGTTGTTGATGTTTGATCCTCTGCACTTTTGTCATTTGAACTTTGAGATTAAATGAAATAGATTATATCTTATTAGTCAATTTGCTGAAAGTTATTCAGTGCATCCTTAATTTGGTCAAGTGCTGAAAAAGAAAAATATTGACACTATCAATGAATAGCAGATAAAGTCTTTTTCTCATAGCAAGCAAAAGTTAAAAGTTAAGTTCAGTAAAAATAAAGAATTTAATCAAAAAATTTTAATTGTTTGATTATTTTAATTGTGCCGAAAAAATTTGAATAATTAAAATTTTGACTGTCTTGCTATTTTAAGTTGCAAATTTGCAGTTGTAATTTGATATATTATAACTTATAGTGAATAAATTACATTAACATTTACTTAACAGATATAGTTATTAAGTTACATTTAATATTCATAGTTTTAAACTAGCAACAACAAATGTTGGCGAGGATGTGATGAAAAAGGAACTCTCCTACATTGCTGGTGGGAGTGCAAACTGGTCCAACCACTATGGAAAGCTGTGTGGAGTTTCCTCAGTCTACTAAAAATGGAGCTACCATATGACCCAGCAATTCCACTTCTAGGGATCTACCCAAAGGACACAAAAACATTGATTCAAAAGAACAACTGCACACCTGTGGTTAATGCAGCACTATTTACAATAGGTAAAACCTGGAAACAACCCAAATGCCCAAAAATAGATGACTGGATCAGGAAGATGTGGTACATATACACAATGGAGTATTATTCAGCAATCAAAAAAGATAAACTCATGCCATTCACAGCAACGTGGATGGAGCTAGAAGGAATTATGCTCAGTGAAATAAGCCAGAAGGAAAAAGAAAAATAACGGATGGTTTCACTTATAGCAGGAATATAGGGGAGCCAAATAAGATATCAGTGTAAAAAAATAATAACAGTACAGAACACAGCAAAGCAAAACCAGACAATTATAAATCAGAGACATACTGCAGGGGAGGAGGAGGGAGAGGGATCAGAGGGAGGGAGGGAGGAGCACAGGGGACTGAGGTGATGGTGCACGGGTACATTGGGGAAGGAAATTCCATGGGACTACACCTGAGGGGGTGGGAGGAAGCAAATATTGTTTAAAAATGAACAATGATGTAAAAAAATAAAAAAATTTAAAAAAATTCATAGTTTTAAAATTTTTAACTTAGCTTGAAAAAATTAGTCTTTCTTAATGTGCATTGAATTAAAGAAAAAGGTATTTTTTATGTGCAGAACACATGGACATATAGTATACATACAAGTAGATACACAATCTGTTGTATTAAAATTTCATGGAGGGAAGCAATTAGGAGAAAAATATCTAAAAAGCCTCCTTATAAGGAATTATTATGAAAAAAGATTGAAAACATAAATATTGATAGAGTCTCTTGGTAGGATGGTGATTAGTCCAGAATATGGGTGCTGAAATATAGGTTGGATGAAAAAGACCTGGTTGTTGGTGTGCCAGTTTGTACTTGGAAGAAGCCATGGGGTGGCCATTACTAGAAGCCATTATAAGAAGCCATTACTAAGTGGCAGGGTGGCAATTCAGAACAGTGCAGATCTGACAATAGGCATGTATCGAAGAAACAGCTCCTGCTATGTCAGTTCTTAGAGTGTAGTTGGAAAGATAAGATAGAAATAGATAAATTTCAGGCCTCCCTGGTGGCGCAGGTGGTTGAGCGCAGCGCTGTGAGACAGTGTGGGTTCGATCCCGGCCTGCCAGAGAGCTCCCCACATGGCGCAGCAGACCTCTCCTGTCTGGCCCACTGCTCCCCTCAGCAGTGTATTTTGGTCAGTCTGCCTGTTCTGTTCCCTGCTCTGTCTCTGGTGTCCTCTCACCCTCCAGCACATCTGGCCTGTACCCCGGTTCTTATGTGCATAAATAAATAAATCTTAAAAAAAATTCATTTGTTTAGTACAAATTTGGTATAAATTCAAGATGAGCTTAATATTTGACTTAGAGCTAAAAATTCCAATTTGCCTACAATATTCTTTATGTTTATAATGTCCTTTTTAGTGCAATATTTTTTAGTGTTTCATGCAACCTTGTTTGTACAGTAATTATTATCTAATATCACAGCTTTACCTTTGAGGCCAGGGTGTGAAAGGAAATAAATGAGTCCTGTTTTTTGAGGAATCTGGCTTTTGCTTTTCCAGATAATTGTACTGAAGGACAGTAATACTTAGTATGGAAGAAACAGTTCATCAAGGTTGTAGCATGTGTCTGTCGGAGACATAGGATTGGAATTTTGAAATCCTGAGGTTTAGTTTCTTTTGCCTTTCTGAAAGTCTGGTGACCATGTGCAGAGACAATGGAATATACTTTCTTGGATCTTTTCTAGCATGTCCACTAACTGTTGCAACTTGAAAGAGGAAGACCTAAATCTTGTAAGTTACCTGACATCATGGCCTTTCAGGTGCACTGTTATCAGCTAGCTTGAGGAGCTGACCCTCAAGAGGATTTTTAAGTGCTTGTTTAGGACTTTTTAGGCTTGTTTCTTTTGCTGCTCGTTACCTTCAGTTTTCTCTTATAGGTATTTCTACAAACAGACTCATGGGTGGTGCCATGCAGCTTACCTTCCGCAAGATGGCGTTTGACTATTATCCCTTCCACTGGGCAGGTAGGAGAATTCTGAATGGGGATAGTGCCGGCTTGGCCCACTTATTGAGGGCAGATTTCTGGGTTGATCCCTGACTTCCCTGGGTGCCAGGGATTGCATATGTTGCCTCTTTAAGAACATCTTCTAGAAACTTGTATGGTTCATTATTGATGATTCTTTATTAGTGATAAGAGGAAGTAGGGAGGGGAGGCAGTGCCAGAGATGTTGTTTTACCTCTACCCTCTGCCATTTGCTTCCGCTAGTTTTAGAGTTTCTCTAGTAGTCCATAGTCAAAGATGGCAGCAATCAGCAGTTGGCCTGTTAGGGAACCTTGGGGGAAAGATCACCTGTGGAATCAAGAAGAACTTGAATGTTCTCACTGATAATTTTCACTTATCTCAGAGAATTCTGGATTGGGTATGAGGGATCAGATTCTGAACTATGACTGTACTTATGGAAAGGAAAAACTGGAATATTAGCTCATGATCTTGAACTAAATCATTTGCTTCTTTATTATATAGGTGATAGCTGCAAGCATTGGGTGCGACACTGTGAGGCCATGGAGACCCGAGGCCAGTGGGCCCAGAAGCTGGTGACGGAATTTCAGAGTAAAATGGAGAAGTGGCATGAGGAAACGGGTCTAAAACCTCCCTGGCACCTGGGTGTAGACTCACCTTTCCGGAGGAAAGCAGGTAGATTGTGAGAAGCTGCAAGACTCCCATTGCTTATCCTCTTGCCATTAACTTTTGGAAATTCATTGAAGATAAAGCATTGGACTAACTTATCCCAATTTTCTCATAGCTAATTATCTGAACTTTTCCCCATGGAGTGCGATAAGTGACTTTTCTTTACAGAGTCCTGTTCGTCCTCAGGGATAGCTGCAATATTAAAGAGAGATTGTCGTCCCCTCTCTTCAAGGCTGTTTCCTTGGTCTAAAGGAGAAAACAAGTTTTGAGTTCCATCTTGGTGCTAGATAGTGTTATTGAACTCTTTCCTACATATAGCATTAATGATTATAGGGTTTTTGCTTTCCTAATTCTATTAACAATAAGATTTGAATGTACCTGACTTATTTTTCTCTCTTATTTTTATTTAGATTCTCTCTCTAGTCCTCGAAAGAACCCCCTTGAGAGAAACTCCTCTCAGGGCCAACAGTCTGCCTTTCGGCCTCCGGCTTGGAATCGCTTACGTTCTAGCTGCATGGTGATACGCGTGGATGACTTGGACATCCACCAGGTGAGGCTCCCAGGACACGGGGAAACATGGTCAGAGAGGGCTGGAGCGGTTCATTTGGAAGGTAGTGCGTGTGAACAAGGTTGTGGTATTCAGAAACTGTTTTCCTCACTTTTGTGTGAATTAAAATTAGTTTGTTTCTTTCTGAGCATAGCTGCTGAGATCAGAACTTGAGATCAGTTTCCTCTGAATACCCTACTACAAATCTTTCATTGAAAAAACTTGTGGATAGTGTTAGGCAGGTGTAGAAATGCCTGGGATAATTGTGAAAAGCACGCTGCTTCCTGTGACAGCCTTTGAAAAGATAGAGGATTTATACCACTTTAGAGGAAATTGAGCTATTTCCTGAGAAATTCTATTCTGGGTATTATATAGATGCTAAGAGCAACTTGTGATTACTTAGGTTTCAACAGCTGGACAGCCAAGTAAGAAGCCATCTACACTCCTTTCCTGCAGTCGGAAACTCCACAGTCTACCCACTCAGGTCTCTGCTATTCACATTGAGTTCACAGAGTATTACTTCCCAGATAATCAGGAGCTTCCAGGTAAGCATATGAGCTGATCATTTCTTGGTGTATAGCTCATGCTCTTTACATCTTTCAGCCTTGGGGCCACTACATATATTCTCACTTGTTATTAGGAATTTTAGGTGTTTGAGTGAGTTAAGCACACCTTGTTAAAAATTCTGCACTCTATAAATATGGGCCTTTACTCTCTTGATAATAAAATGATTATTAGCTGGTGGGTAAGAGTCAAGCTGCTGCTTTTGTACATGGCAATTCATTTTTTGTCTGCTTTCCAGTTCCCTGTCCCAATCTCTACATTCAGTTAAATGGTCTGGCATTTACTGTGGATCCCATTAGCTTACTCTGGGGAAACCTCTTCTGCCTGGATTTATACCGCAGCTTGGAGCAGTTCAAAGCTATCTACAAGCTGGAAGATGCAAACCAGAAAGATGAACACTTGGATATCCTACTGGATGCCTTCCGGCTAAAGGTAGGGAGAAAGTGGGATTTTTGTTCCCTATTGGTGCCACAGCTGCTTTACTCCCATGAAAGCCTCTGGGGAGCCCATAGTTATAATCCAGGGTTCTGCTTTGTTCACTTAATAGAAGTAAGCAAAGCAGTTTCACAGCCCGAATGGTCCTTCATGTGTGTATTAGTGGTGGGTTGTACAAGTACTTAGATGACCATTCTGAATTGGGTTCCATTTTCTTTCTGAAGGTGAGCTTCCCACTGGAGAAGAGAGAACAGGCTGGGTTGCATCGGCCCCAGGCCCTTGTCTTTTCTGCATCAGGCATGACTGCCACCAATACACGTCATGCTCCACATTGTAGCTGTTCAGACCTCCAAAGTGTCTTCCGGGGTTTTGCCGCTGCTGAATTCTTTCATTCCAATTACATTCACTTTCCCAAGGTTCCAGGTAGCTTCAGCCTTCTGCACATGCTTTTTTTGCATCATGCCTTCCAGATGGATTCCCGTCTCCCTCATCCTAGTAATCTCCTTCCCCAGAGGCCTAAGGCTTCCCAGGATCTCTGGTCCATTCACTTCACCCAGATCTCCTTGGACTTTGAGGGAACAGAAAACTTCAAAGGTCATACCTTGAATTTTGTGTCTCCGTTCCCCTTGTCCATTTGGGCCTGTCTGCCCCTCCGCTGGCAGAAGGCCCAGGCACGGAAGCTCCTTTCGGCAGCAGAAAGGAAACTGAAACCATCAGCCAGCTTTGGCAGTCCTGTCCACTCTGAGGCCCTCGTCCCTGACCCTGTGTCCCATCAGAGGTCAAAGACTGAGCATGATTTGAAAAGCCTATCAGGCTTTACAAAAGCCATGGAAGTCCTGAAAGACGGTAGCAGCGGCGTGGACAGCAAAGGGCCTCTGACAGAGCTGGAGGACGCTGCGGATGTTCACATGCTCGTGCACTCTCCTGCAGACATCCGCGTGAGGCTTGATCACTACCAGTACTTGGCTCTGCTCCGCCTGAAAGAGGTGCTGCAGGGTCTTCAGGAGCAGCTGACTAAGGATACAGAGGCTATAACTGGGTCTGCCCTGCAGGACCAGACAGTTTGCATTGGAGTTCTTTTCCCCAGCGCTGAGGTGGCTCTGCTTATGAATCCTACCCCTGGGTCTTTTGAAGCTGACTCTGCAGGTTCAGATACCACCAGCATCATCGATTCAGAACTGTCTCACTCAGAGGATCAGGAGCTGAAGTCTGATGCATCCTCAGACCAGGACCCAACAAGCCCGGAAAAGGTTCTGGAGCACAGTGGCATTGAAAACCTGGATGTAGCTCAAGATAGGCCACTGCCTCTTCATAGCAATGGAGAACTTCAGGACTCAGATTCTCTTGCACAGCAGTTGGCAGGGAAGGGCCATGAGGCAGTTGATGCCCTGCAGGCCAAGAGATTGAGCAGAGCCCAAGCTTCTAGCACACCAGCTACCATGAAGCCCCCAGGTGCCAGGGATACTGCTATAAATGGACAGGGTGAGCTCATCCCTTTGAAGAACATTGAGGGAGAATTGTCAAGTGCTATTCACCTGACCAAGGATGCCACCAAGGAGGCTCTCCATGCCACCATGGACCTCACCAAGGAAGCTGTGTCCCTGACTAAGGATGCCTTTAGTTTGGGCAGAGACCGAATGACCTCCACCATGCACAAGATGTTGTCCCTTCCCCCAGCCAAGTGAGTGGTTCTCTGCATCTTTTGCATCCCATCTCTTCCTCCTAGCTCTGTTCATTTGGCTTAAGGCCTCTTGTTATGTGCACTTTTAGATTGGGAAGCACCATTTAGGCCTGGTGTGTGCATAGACTTGGCATAGCATTGGAGAGATTTTCAGGCTACTTAGAGGATACAGGTATACCAGTTGGAGAGACTTATTTTTAGGATGACATCTAAATTTGTGATGGGGAAGACCCAGGAATTCCAATAAAATAACAAAACCCCGCGGATTTTCACATGCCTCCATATAGCATGGCCTATTCTTGGACTTGTTTCAAGTCAACATTTATTCCTGTGTAGTATCAAGTTAGCTCTCTTACTGATTCACTACTTTTAATAGATATGCAATATCTGAAGAGTAATACCTGGCATCTGTATGATATTCTTTTCATTTGGCCCTCATGTCATATTTTGTTTGTTTTCATCCCCACCACAGCCTGCTGAGGTAGCTATAGATGTTTAAATTATAGCTAAGGAAACTGAGACTCAGAGAGGATGAGCTCATGGATCCTGTATCTTGTAAATAGAAAAGCTGGTGCTTTGAGCTTACTCTTTCTGATACTTCTTATCAACATTTTCCAGGGTAATAGAGAAGGAAGAATTTCATCCATTCATTTAACCAATACTTTTTGAGCCCTTGCTGACTGCTGACTCTGTGTTAGGCACTGGAGATACAGTTGGGAATAAGCAGAAACCCAGAAATGCACAGAGTAGAAGGCACGGGTTTTTCCACAGTTGGGTGCTTTGTAATTTTAAGAAAGAGATGATGACAGAAAATCTTTTTTGGGATACTTTGTGGTGTAGGGACCATGATATGATCAGTGACTTTAGAGCTTTTATCTTAGTGGATTGTCTTCAGTGGGTCTCTAAGCAATGCCTGAGTGTGTGCTAGTATTAGTACCTGCTAGGTCACTAACAGCCTAGGAGGAAGAAAGAGAAAAACTTAAAGGGATTAATTTTTAATAATACTAGTGAGGCAGCATTTATTGAATGTAGTCTATGTTTAGGCACTGTCCTAAATACTTAGACTATTATTAATCAAGTGAATTCTTATAACAGCCCTATAAGGCAGATACTATTATCACTCCTCATTTTACACATGAGGAAACTGAGACTTAGAGGTGAGAAACTTGCTCAAGTTCACACAACTTGTGAGTGGTAGGGCGAGGATTGAAATCCCACACTCCCAATTACCAGATGAGCTGCCTTTCTTTCTTTCTTTTTTTTTTTTAAAGATTTATTTATTTACTTATACAAGCACTGGGTATAGTCAGAAGCGCAAGAGGGTGAGAGAATTCACCAGAGCGGGGAACAGAACAGGCAGACTGACGAAATACACTGCTGAGGGGAGCAGCGGGTGTCAGGAGAGGTCTGTGCGCCATGTGGGACCCTCGGTGGTGGCTGGGGATCCAACTGGTGCTACAGAGGCTGCGGGCAGCTTCGCAGCCCAGTGCTCAACTGCTGCGCCACCAGAGGAGGCCCTGAGCTGCCTTTCTAATTGGAAAAGAATAAAGAAGCTGGGAAGAGAGGATAGGTAAAAAGGAGAAAAGAAAGGTGTATGTTACAAGCTCTTTTTTAAAACATCAACAACAGGGCCTCCCCGGTGGCGCAGCGCTTGAGCGCTGGGTTGTGAAACTGCCCGCAGCCTCTGCAGCACCGGTTTGATCCCCGCCTGCTGTGTCCACTGCTCCCCTCAGCAGTGTATTTCATCAGTCTGCCTGTTCTGCTCCCTGCTCTGGCTCTGGTGAATTCTCTCACCCTCCCGCACTTCTGACTGTACCCAGTGCTTGAATAAATAAATAAATAAATCTTTAAAAAAAAATAAATAAAACATCAACAATGGCTTCCTAACTGTCCAAGCTGGTGGCCTGTTCTCAGTCTTCCTCCTGGCAGTTCATCTTGCTGGTCAGTTCATTCTGACCATTTGTAACCCCGCCCACTTAATCCACACGTCATAAAATGAGTATTTTTTTCCCTCTACTGCTCTTTTTATTCTTTAAATATTATTGCGTAGTGCTGGACTGTCCATATTCTGATAACTTATAATTTTTACTTTTTCAAAAATATATATTTTTAATGAAGTACCATTATTTTGTAGCCTTATAATTTTTTTCACAATATAGAATTGGATGCTTTTTAAATTTTAAAAATGATTTGTGCTCAACTTGGTGACTGTAGAAAATGGAAAAATAAATAATATAAAAGTCACTTGTGATGACACTATTTAGTGATAGTCACTATTTACATTTACATCCATTTTGTTCTAATTACTGTACTTATATTTGTGTCTCCATGTGAATGCTTATATGAATATACAAATATATAAACATTGTTTTTATATTAATAGGGTTATATTATTTCTATATAATATAGAGAAATCCCAGTTTATTCACTTAATATTTTATTGTGACTATTTCCCCCCTCATTAGTATTTGAATACATAATTTTTAATTACTTTGTTGATTTATAGCAAACTGATGTATCATAATTTATTAATCCATCCCAATATATAGGGTGGGAGGGGTCAGTTTCCATTTTTTCTCAGGTAGAACCAATACTGTGGCAAATGTCCTTATTATTGTGAACTTTACTCTTGTGCATATCTACAGAGTAAAAAACCTGGAAGCAGATACTGGGTGAAAAAACCTGGAAGCAGATACTGGGTGAAATACTATAAGCATTTTTTTTTTTTTTTTTTAATAGAGGCATGTTTTTTTTTTTATTTATTAATTTATTATATTTGTTTGTTTTGTTTATACATGCACTGGGTACAGTCAGAAGCGCGGGAAGGTGAGAGAATTCACCAGAGCCAGAGTGGGGAGCAGAGCAGGCAGAAGGACTGAAGTACACTGCTGAGGGAGCAGCGGGTGGCAGGGAGATCTGCGCACCATGTGGGATCCTCCTCCGGTGGCCGGGAGCAGCCGGGGATCGAACCGGCGCCGCCGAGGCCGCGGGCAGCTTCGCAACCCAGCGCTCAACCGCTGCGCCACCGGGGAGGCCCTACTATAAGCATTTTTAAGGTTCTTGATGCATATGCCAAACTTTTAGAAGGTATATTAGTCTGAACTTTTGAATATTTTTTAGGTTATTTTATCCATTTCCTCATTTCTGCGATAGTCTATAATTTTAGTCCTGACTTCCCTCCATTCCATGCTCTTCATTTAAAACTACTTACTCCACAAGACTCCCAGGGAGAGATTCCCAGGGTACCTCAAATCTTACCCATAAAAAGTTTAATTTCTTAGCCCTTCAAGACCAGTTCTTTCTCTTTTTTTGGTAGCATCATTCTCCTGCTTGTTTAAACTGTATATTTTAACTCTGCTTCTTCCAGTTGTTTTGTCAGTTCTAACCATAATTCCTAGAGCAGTGGTTCTCAAACTCCTGGAGCATTTCTGAAAACATAGATTGCTGAGCCCTTCCCTCAGAACCCCTCATCCAGTTTAGGATTGAGATGGAGTCAAGAATTTACATTTCTATCAAGTCCCCACTGATACTGATACTCCTACCGGGATGACACTGCTCAGTTTTCCTGTCCATTCTCACATGTGAACTATAGATATTTTTTTCAAAGATTTATTTATTTATGCATACAAGAGCTGGGGAACAGGCCAGAGATGTGGGGGCTGAGAGGACTCACTGCAGACAGAGTGGGGAGCAGAACAGGCAGAATGACTGAAGTACACTGCTGAGGGGAGCAGCGGGCGAGTCAGGAGAGGTCTGCTGCACCATGTGGGCTGCTCCCTGGCTGGCCAGGGATTGAACTCGTGCTGCAGAGGCTGCGGATTGCTTCATAGTGCGGTGCTTAACCTCTTGCGCCACCAGGGAGGCCTGTGAACTACAGATTTTTTCATTGGAGAGCTTTTCTTTTCTAGCTTGTTTGAGAAAGCCAGGTCAAACTTCCTAAAACACAGGTGTGTTATTGGTATTTCCCTATGCTAAAACCCTCAGACTTTTTCCTTATACTCCCAGAATTTTGTTTGGCGTAATTACATTACATCCAATGGCATTTTGCCATTGTTTCTTTTTTCAACAGACTTTATTTTTTTAGACCAGTTTTAGGTTCATAGCAATATTGAGCAATATGCACAGAGATTCCCATATACTCCCTGCACTACACAGCTTTCAGTATACTTTCATATGTGGCTTCTATCCATGGTTTTCTATAATCTGACTGCAAGCCATGTGGTAAAGTGAAAAAAGCATTTAGGAAGGTGTGGATTTTTCTCAATTCCACCTGTAATTGTGCGGTGAACCTTGAGTTAGTTACTTCATCTGTAAAATGGGAGGGTAGGATTAAAAGGTCTTTAATGGTTTCTTTTCTTTGTGTTACATTTTTTATTTTTTTATTTTTTTTTTTAAACCTTTTTTTTTATTTTTTTTTATAGAGGCATGTTTTTATTTATTTATTATTTATTTGTTTGTTTGTTTGTTTTTTTTTGTTTATACATGCACTGGGTACAGTCAGAAGCGCGGGAGGGTGAGAGAATTCACCAGAGCCAGAGCGGGGAGCAGAGCAGGCAGAAGGACCGAAGTACACTGCTGAGGGGAGCAGCGGGCGGCAGGAGAGGTCTGCGCGCCATGTGGGACCCTCCTCCGGTGGCCGGGGAGCAGCCGGGGATCGAACCAGCGCCGCGGAGGCTGCGGGCAGCTTCGCAACCCAGCGCTCAACCGCTGCGCCACCGGGGAGGCCCTGTGTTACATTTTTTAAACTTAGTCCTCCATTGCTCTCCCTAACAAACCTGTCCTCCAGCTGGATTGAACTACTTACTAATCCCCACAGAATGCCCTCTTCCCTATCTTTTTCATTGTCCTTCAGGGACCACCTCAAATGCCATCTCCTTCCATGAAGCCATTTTTAAACCCCTAGTACCCATCTCTCCCCCTCTTTGATATTGCGTAGCCTTTGACTCACACTTCTGTGACTCTGTGACATGTCACTTCTCCCATGTAATGTTATATATAAGTCTCTCCTGATATATTATAAATTCTTAGGGAAGTGGGGACGTTTTATTCATTATTTCGTTCACCTTCTGACCCACACGCTGTGTCTGCCATGGTGCCTGTGTGCAGAAGCTAATCACTGAATACTTGTGGGTTGAATGGGACTTCAGGTACCATTCAGTAGCACTGAGATTATAGGTAGTTGGTCTCTTCTGTATATGAACTGTCTGAATAGCCCTGACATTTCCTGGTGATTGGTGCAGTTTCAATTACTAAAATATGAGGATTCAGAAAAATCAGCAGTTGAAAATGGTGTTATCCCCTTCAACCAGGTAATAGGTGATATCAAAGTTTATATCTATAATATATAATAACTCCTTGGGCTGAAAGGGATGGATATGCAATGGGATGAAACAATATGTCTCCTAAGCCACATTTGTTGTTTTTGTTTTATAAACAGGGACCCCGTGGCCAAGATAGATGAGGGGGTGGCAGCCCCAGTGAGTGGGGGTGCTGCCCGACTCCGATTTTTCTCCATGAGAAGGACAATATCGCAGCAGTCATTTGATGGTGTCTCATTGGATAACAGTGGCCCTGACGATCGGATTTCGGTGGACAGTGATGGCAGTGATAGCTTTGTGATGCTCTTGGAGTCTGGTAGGTGGAAGCAGAGCCAGACAAAATTGTAAAAGTCCAGAAAGATTTTTTTCTGCTACCTATATTCAGACTGGCAGGATACAAAAACAACTGAGATTTGATAAAATAGTCATGTACCTAACCACAAGAAAAAGTAATGTTAATGGATTTGTGGCTCTTGCTTTATCCCTGCATCTTCTAAGTTATTGGTTGGTACCTTACCTTTATCATATGCAGAGACTCAGATCAAAGGAAAGGTGATTGTCTTCCAGCCATTAAGCTGTGGGGTAGGATTCGTTTTGTGACTGGTGTAATGGTGTCTATATTTGTTGTCTTTTTTTTTTCTCGTCTGTATATCTTATTTTTGGCAAGTAACTAGAAGCTTTTTGTCTGTGACAAAATGAATAACCTTTTAGAGTTAGCTCTGTCACCACTGTAAGTTACATTTGTTCTTTCAGCTTATTGAAATGGAAATTTATTAAATGGTTTCTGAAGTGTCTAAATGAAAATAAAAAGTTTATGCACCATTTCTTAAGATGGGTGGTGTGTACCCATGTTTCTTTTGTTATTTTTTAACTTCCAATAGATAACTTTATTTTTTTTAATTTAAATTTTATTTTTATATTCCCCATACAATTACAACCCCCTTATTTTGACCCCAATCCCTCCTTTCCCCGCCCCCCAACCCCCCATAGAGTGTCTCTGGTTCATAGTTGTTTGTTGATTTTGATTTTTCCTTTCTTATAGTTATTCTTTTTCCTGGTCTCTTATTTAAGTTTTCTAGATTCCTGCTATGAGTGAGACCATCCGGTATTTTTCTTTTTCTTTCTGGCTTATTTTGCTGAGCATGATCCCTTCCAGCTCCATCCATGTTGCTGCAAATTGCATGTGTTTATGTTTTTTGAATGCTGAGTAATAATTCATGGTGTATATATACCACATCTTCTTGATCCAGTCATCTTCCAATAGATACTTTAGAACTTCCCACAGAACTTATAGAAAATTTCAAATATGTATAGAAGTAGAATCAAATGAACCCTAATATACTAATTACTTAGGTTCAGCTGTTAAGAACTCAGGGATATTTTTGTTTCATATATGCTTTTTCTCACTTGCTTATTTTGAAGCAAATCCCCAATGTACCATTTTATCCATAATGTTTTCAGTATGCATTTCTAGAAAATACAGATTTTAAAATATAAAAAAATTTTAATTGTGGTAAAGTACACATAACATAAAACTTACCATACTAACCATTTCTGACTATAATTTAATGGCAGTAAGTACATTAAAATTGTTATGCAACAATCATCACTATTCATCTCCAGAACTCTCTTCATCTTGCAAAACTGGAACTCTGTACCCCTAAACAATAATTCTTCATTCCTTCCTCCCTTCAGCCTCAGTCATCATTCCATTTTCTGTCTCTATGAATTTGGTGACTCCAGGTACCTCATATAAGTGGGATCATGCAATATTATTCTTTTGTGACTGACTTACTTCACTTAATGTCCTCAAGAGTCATTCACAGAGTAGCATGTGTCAGAATTTCCTTCCTTTTTAGGGCTGATTAATAGTCTATTGTATGTTTATACCACACTTTGTGTATCCATTCATCTCTCCATGAGCACTTGGATTGCTTCTATTTACAAATTTTTTTGAATGTAACCAAAGGACATTACCATGTTTTAAAAGTAAATAATTCCTTAAATTCATCAAATATCTAGTTAGTTTTCAAATTTCCAGTTGTCTTATAAATGTCAAATGTTTTGTTTTTACAGTTGCCATTGGATTTGAACAGATTTATTTGACTTTCAAACTCTTTTTTTGTCTTTCTTATACAGAGCCTGGTCCAGACTCTCTCCCACCAGGATCTCTTCCAAATGTCTTAGACAGCGCTGGTCTTCAAGGGAGCCCTGTTATGGATAGCTATGGCCAGGGGTCACCAGAGGCCAACAGTTCAGTTTCACCCAGTAGGGAAGACCTCAGTCCTCACCTGGTTAGCTGCTCTACTTTCTTCTCTGCAGAGGGTAGACTCCAGGCTGGGAGCTTGGGGCTCAGCTAAGAGAGTCTCCTTTTACAGGTCTCAGTTCTGCTCCTGAAAGTGAATGAGGTGTCTTTGGGGATTGAGGTACGAGGCGATGACTTGACTGTGGCCCTGCAAGCAAAGGAGCTGACCCTCCAGCAGCTGGGCACCGTGGGACTCTGGCAATTCCTACATGGGCAGTGCCCGGGTGAGGATGGTGCACATTTTAGGAAAGGTGGTGGGATTTGTCTGGGGCAGCCGTAGCTAAACTCTGCTCCTGTCACTGCTGCAAGGGCAGTTGCTCTATTGCCATGCGATTGGCCCTTTTCTCCAGCAGCCATAAGGGGGAAGAAGTACTCCAGTAAACCCTGCTTGTAAGATTTCTCCAGGAGCTCTTTCTCTGATTTTTGCATTCCCTAGGCTGTCCTCCATCGTCACTGCCTGCATGTTCCCTAAGCTTACACGTGAGGACAGTGTTCACTTCTTCATTTGTGTGACTGCCAGCATCACACTGTACCTGATCAGGAACTTCTTTTGTCCAGATTCAATCATTTGATATGAATTATCATGTATACTTTAAAAATTAACATGAAAAATTTGGGCTATTGCTTCATTTTTTAAAAAAGATTTATTTATTTATGCATACAGGAGCTGGAGTACAGGTCAGAGGTGTGGGGAGTAAGAGGATTCACCAGAGACAGAATGGGGAACAGAACAGGCAGACTGACTGAAATACATTGCTGAGGGGAGCAGTGGGCGATACAGGAGAGGTCTGCTGTGCCATGTGAATCAGCTCCCTGTGTGGGGATTGAACTCATGCTTCAGTGGCTGTGGATAACTTCATAGGTTGCGTCCCAACCCCTTGCGCCACCAGGGAGGCCCTACTGCTTCATTTAAAAACTTTTTTTTGAACATTGAATAGATAACTGAAATATTTATAAATATATATAAAGTATAAAATGCTAATTACAATGAACCCATGTATGCATAACCTAGTTTAATATATAAAGCAGTATCTCTCTCCTAACTCTTCCTCTGCCTCTGCCCTGTCATTGGGAATCACTATCCTGAATTTTGTGCTTATCATTCTCATATTTTCCTTTACAATTCTTCCACATGTGTTTATATCAATATGTTAGTTAGCTTTGTAGGTGTTTGAGTTTTGGGTTTTTTTTTTTTTTTTTTTTTTTTCAGATTTTATTTATGCAAGAACTGGGATACAGGCCAGAGTCACAGGAGGGTGAGAGAATTCACCAGAGACAGAGTGGGGAGCAGAACAGGTAGACAACAGAAACACTGTTGAGGGGAGCAGCGGGTGAGATAGGAGAGGTCTGCTGTGCCATGTGGGTATCGCTCTGGCTGGCCGGGAATCAAATCCATGCTGCAGAGGCTGTGGACAGCTTCACAGTGCAGTGCTCAATCACTGCGCCACCGGAGAGGCCCCGTGTTTGAGTTTTTCTAAATGGAATTATATTTTGTATTCTTTTGTGAGTAACTTCTTTGACATAACATGCTATTTTTCAAAAATCCATGAATCATTCATTTTCACAACTTTATTGTAAAAATATACCACATTTTGCTTTTAAAAAAATATTGAGGTGTAATTTGCATATTATGAAATTCACTCAAAGTAATCATACAGTTTGATAGATTTTAGTAAGTTTATAGAGCTGTGTAACCATCACCATCACTCCCAAAATATTCTTTGTATCCTTTCTGTTTACTTCTTCAATCTATTTTAAATAGACATTGGGTTGTTTCTAGTATTTTTTCTTTCTTTTTTTTTGCTATTTCAAGTAGGGTTGTCTTGAACATACTTGTGCATGCCTGCTGGTATGCATGTTCAAGTGTTTCTCCAGGTTTATATTCTTGAGAATATAATTTCTAGGTTACTAGGATAGCTACAGCTTTAACTTTATTAGACAATGCTAAATTGTTTACTAAAATGTTTTTACCAATTTGCAGTTATACACATTGTTTCATAACCTAAGCTATACCTAAGATTGTTCTTTATGGAGTTTTGAGATTAGCATAGATCTTGCTTGACTATCAGAGAGAGATGAGAAGGCTAAGACTTGGAAGAGATGCTTTTAATTTAGCAGAGTTGTGGGTCCTGTGTTTTAAGAGCTTTTCCTTGGCCATTAGCTCTGTGCCTATTCATAGCAAGGCCAACTTTATACTGGTACTTAACCTCCCTCCACCATGAGAAACACTATAGCATAGTAGTGAAGCCCAGAGGCTTTGCCTTGCTGCTTACAAGTTGTGTACCTTTATGCAAGTAATTCTTTGTGCCTCAGTACCTTCATCGCTAAGGTGGAAACAGTATTTTTGGCAAAGGGTTGTTACAATATTAAATATATGTGAAATGCTTAGAACAATCCCTGGCTGTCAAGGAATTAATTTGTTTTCCTGCTGTCATTCTTCTCAAAGGTACAGATTTTCAGGAACCCTCAGATGTGAAGACTGACCACCGCAGGCCGGCTGTGGGCCTTCGCTTTGAGGTGGGGCCTGGTGCAGCTGTTCATTCCTCCCTGGCCGTGCAGAATGGCTTCCTGCATCTCTTGCTTCGTGGCTGTGACCTTGAGCTGTTCGCTTCGGTGCTCAATGGCCTGGGACCCTTCTTGGAGGATGAGGAGATCCCTGTGGTAGTTCCCATGAAGATTGAGCTCCTAAACTCCAGGATCACCTTAAAAGTGAGAAGGACTTTTGGTTTTTATCCTAGACTGTGTAAGGCAGGGAATTCTGGCAGTGACAGCTGCTAACTTCTTGTCACGTTAAAAAGTGGTGAGGATCAAATGAAGAAATACATATTAGCATTCTTGGTCAGTGTTAAAAAGAGTAAATACATGTGTGTTGCTGTCAGAAATTCCTGGATTTAGGACTTTTAGTGAGGATACCTTTTATCTAGTCTTCACCCTATCTTTGACATGGATTATTAAGTTATCTGATCCTCACTTTTACCATCTCTAAAATGGGAGAGACTCACTTATGCCTCCCATACATTGCAAGAGTATATGAATAAGCAGTGACATAAAAGTACTTCAAACTGCATAGTGTTGCCTAAATTTCTCATGTAACTTTCCCTTTTCCCTGCAGGATGATATCCCTCCCATCTATCCAACATCGCCAGGGCCTATCCCCATCACCCTGGCCATGGAGCATGTTGTGCTGAAGCGGAGTGATGATGGTGTGTTCCACATAGGCGGTGAGTTGGGCTTGTCAACCTCCTGGCTTATCTATTTTTTTCCTCCCATAAGGGAATAGGTGATGGCTAGGAATTGTCTGCATGTTAGTAGCAGTTTGTCATTTTATTTTTATTTTTTAAAGATGTATTTATTTATGCATACAAGAACTGGGTACAGGCCAGAGGTGTGGATGGTGAGAGGATTCACCAGAGGCAGAGTGGGGAGCAGAACAGGCAGGCTGACTGAAATGTACTGGTAAGGGGAGCAGCGGGTGAGTCAGGAGAGGTCTGCTGTGCCATGTGGGTCACCTCCGTGGCCAGGGATCGAACTCTGTGCTGCAGTGGCTATAGATAGCTTTTTAGTGCTGTGTCTTAACCCCTTGCGCCACCAGGGAGGCCCCCTAGTTTGTCATTTTAAACCTTTACTGTTTTTTCAGCTGCTCCTCAGGACAGACCATCAGCTGAAGAACCTAAAAATGAGAAGAGACAGCCTCCCAAAGAACAGGTGTTTCTGGTGCCCACAGAGGAAGCTTTTGGACAGCAGGTGAGCACCTGATTGAATAGTACCTTTCCCATAAACCCGTAGTGCCTATAATCACAAAATGTTGCTTATGTTGTATGCACCTGCGTGGTTTGGGCCCCCATCACCTGGTTTTTTGAAGTATGTAGAGGATGAAAAGAGGATGTAAGCAGGAGTTGGCAGTAAATGGTGCTGGTTACATATTCTGCTTGTTGCTGTCCTATAATTGATCAACCCTAAAGAAGGGATTAAGTCATAGCAAAGATTTAGTCTTTTTTTTTTTTTTCTGGTTCTTTTGCTTTTATTTTATTTTATTTTTTTTTAATAATAAATTTTATTTTTATATTCCCCATACAATTGCAGCCCCCCCATTCTGACCCCAATCCCTCCCCTCCCGCCCCCGCCCCCCTAAAAGTGTCTCTGGTTCATAGTTGTTTGTTGATTTTGATTTTCACTTTCTTATAGTTATTCATTTTCCTGGTCCCTTATTTAAGTTTTCTAGATTCCTGCTATGAGTGAGACCATCCGGTATTTTTCTTTTTCTTTTTGGCTTATTTCGCTGAACATGATCCCTTCCAGCGCCATCCATGTTGCTGCAAATTGCATGTGTTTATCTTTTTTGAATGCTGAGTAATATTCCATGGTATATATGTACCACATCTTCTTGATCCAGTCATCTATTTTTGGGCATTTGGGTTGTTTCCAAAGCTTAGCTATTGTAAACAGTGCTGCTATAAACATAGGGGTGCAGGTGTTCTTTGGAATTGATGTTTCTGTGTCCTTTGGGTAAATACCTAGGAGTGGAATTGCTGGATCATATGGAAGCTCTATGTTTAGTAGGTCCAGAAATCTCCACACAGCTCTCCACAGTGGTTGGACCAGTTTGCACTCCCACCAACAGTGCAGAAGAGTTCCTTTTTCTCCACACCCTCGCCAGCATTTGTTGTTGCTAGTTTTTTTTAATAATTGCCATTCTCACTGGTGTAAGATGGTATCTCATGGTAGTTTTGATTTGCATTTCCCTGATGACAAGTGATGTTGAACATTTTTTCATATGCCTGTTGGCCATTTGCATTTCCTCTTCAGAGAAATTTCTTTTTAGCTCTTCTGCCCATTTTTTGACTGGATTATTTTCTTTGTTGTTGTTGAGTCTTATCAGCTCTTTGCAGATTTTTGTGATCAGTCCTTTATCATTAGTGTTGGGTACAAAAATGTTCTCCCAGTTGGTGGGGTTTCTCTTTGTTTTTGTTATTGTCCCTTTTGCTGTGCAGAAGCTCTTTAATTTGATGTAGTCCCAGCTGTTTACAAAGATTTAGTCTTGATCATTGACTAAACTTGGGGATTTTTCTGCTGGGATTTTTCTCCCTGTTCCCTTACTGGATGTTTTTGCAAAGTGGTTACCATATTGATTAACTATGAATTACTTATTATTCCTCAGGTGAAAGAACTGCCTACCCTACAAAAGGAACTTAGAGAAACTAAGCAAGCATTGGCCAATGCTAACCAGGACAAAGAAAGACTTCTTCAGGAAATTAGGAAATATAACCCCCTCTTTGAGCTCTGATAGCAGTGGCTGAGCCATCTGTGCCAAGGAGAGAGAAGATCACCAGCAATAGCACCACCTAGGACAGAGGCACTGTCCAGTGTTAAATCAGTTTGCTAAGAATGCCAGAGGGACTGGGGGAGTGCTCAACTCTCTTCGTGGTGTCCTTTCAACTAGCTGTCTAACTTGGACGGAAGACAGGTGAAGCATGACTACTTCCCAAGAATTTGAGAGCAGCTTTGTGTGTGGCTCAAGCATCATATCTTGCCTGTATAAAACCTTTTGGCCCTCTGACTAGGCGAAGTCTTCTTAATACTAGGGTCATTACACCCCCTAGTTTCATTGCAGATATTTGCTTCTTCCACAACCTTTGTGAGCAGGGAAAGTACCCACCTCCTCAGTCACCCAGAGCCACCAAAGATTCTATGTCTCAGAGCTTCCTGTAGCAGACCTGAAAAGTCCTTGGTCTGAGCTGTGGCCGTGGTAGTGGAGTGGAATAGGAATGGCAAGGCAGAAACCAGGAGAGCCACAAGAAGGGAGACCTTGGTTCTGCCTTTTTGGAAAAGGGAGCCAGCCCATGTCATCATGACTAAAGTTACAATCAAAATTTTCAGGGTTAAGATTCCTCTGTTACATACTTTCTTCATTGTGATGCTGGGTAGAAAGTGAACAATAGGAGTGACTCAGTTGCATCATTTTTCCTCTCAATGACACAATTTGAGATTTAAACCAGGAAAAAAGTATTTACTCGGAGCTTAGGGAGAAGGTGTGATATTGGAGGATCAAGAGGGGAGCTCAATTATTGGCCCCCTGTTGCCCGCCTAAAGCCCTGTCTCTTCCACAACTGTTATTTGACAGGTTATGTAACTGTTAATAAGCGACAGGTTGTTTCCCCTGTGTCCCTGGGGGTCCTTGGGAGTGCTTCCCCAGCACTGTGACTTTACATCGGATTCTCCTCAGCATTTGGTGGTGTGGGAGCTAAAGATATTTAATATAAACATCCCAGCCTGTTTCTTCTTACCTCCCTCTATCTCTGTGGCTTTTCAAAATCATGTAATATTGACTTAAGAAAAAACCAACTAACCAACCAACCCTTCAAGTTACCTAGGTTTTGCACCTACTTTATAAAAGAGCCATTTCTCTCCTCTTTGAACCTAAATCTTCCCTAACACTTCCCTAACATCCATATAGCTCTGTGGTATGCTTCAAGCTGTGTGGATTGGACAAACATTTATCAGCTAACTCACCTTGAATTGGCAAGATGGTAAAATAGTGATTTAGTAGTGTCACTAAAATCTTAGATCATATTTGACCTACTAAAGGAAAGGTAAAATGGTTTCCTTATGGGAAGTCACACCTGATGCATATATTATTGTGGGTTTTTTTTTTTTTTCTTGAAGTTAAAAAGACACACACATTCAAGAAAGAACAAGATCTAATTTGTTCAGGCTTTTGTCAAGTTTCTTCACCGAGGCAATTTTAAAAGCACCAGTTACTGTGAGATTATGGGGATATTTTGTCACGCTTAGGAAACAATTAAGGTATAAACATCTTTCTGGTAAGAATGTTAACATAGTTCCTAAGGGCATATGTTTGATTAAACTATATTTAAAGTTTTTGTAAGTAACCTGAAAATAGAATATTACAGTGCCATTAAATGTAACTACTTCCAGGGAGTGAAAGGTAAACCGGAAGAGATTAAAAAAAAACAATGTGAGCTATAAATACTCAGGAAAGTGACAGGTGAGGTTCTACATAGGTAAGTGTAAAGTGATGTACTTACAAAAGAGTCAGCAAGCAATGGAGGAGGCAGTGAATTGTTAGAACTCAGGAAAGAAAGCAGAACACTGCTGAGAAGGAGGAGGGGTCACTGTGCTGCATGGCCAGAAGCCCAGCTGCCTTCTAGACATCATCAGGTAGGGCATAAGGAGACAACACAGGCGACAGTACCTCGTACAAAACCATGGCAATGTCTTAAGTTATCTGTGCGCTTCTGATGATACCATTTGCAACATATGTAACCTGGAGGAAAGGTTCAGAGAACAGCAAAAATTATCAGGGGGTGGAAGTACATGACATGACATATCTTTAAAATGTTGGCTGACTCCAATTCTGGAAAAAGTTGAGGGGAGTATTAGATCAAATATCTCGTCAAGCGCAAGGAAGCCAGGTCCTAAAACACTAGCTCTAGGGCTCTACCTCATGGCCTTAGGAAAAGAAAGTATTTCTCATAGCAATCAGGAACTTATGCTCAAGAAGTGGTGCTGACAGAAACCATTCATGGGGACAGAAAGTTTAAGAGGAATCACTGACAGTTTTCCTTAAGGATTTCTAGAAAATCAGGGCTTTTGGTGATAGGCAACTGAGATGGTTAACTGTAGCCCTCCACAAACCCTCTTAATGTTTTAGAGGTAGAATGGATCACTGATCTTCTCAAGTATGGTATTTCTATTATTCTTGGAGGGGGAGAAGGGAGATCGATTAGCTGGAAAATAGAATTATTCAATTTTCGGCTTACCTGAATAGATTTAAAATCACATTCTTATTTTTTCCTGTCCCTCCTCCCTTACCCACCTCTTTTGCATACCTCTATGCAAAAAATAAAACAAAAACAAAACATATATACTAATAAGTACAGCTTGGTATTTTCACCTTGAGTTTGAACTTGATGGGAGGCAATAAAACACATTTGGCAAGCACCAAGGCAAACCCCTTTAATGGCCAGAGCTCAGTCAGACTTTGGCATGGTCTGGAGCACCTGTCCACATGCCCAACAGAGCCCTAGAATTTCTGACCTCCCTTATGTGGAGGATTTCGTTGTTGTATCTTGAAGTCCTCCTTCAGGAAATATAGTAGGGGATGTTGTCCCCTGGAAGTACATGTACTAAGTACACACTTAGTAAAAATCATCTTGTATTACTTAATATACCTGTTCACCAGAGAAAGGAAGACTGATAATGAAGAAATGTGAACTGGTCGGTAGTCCTCATAAATGTAAAAGAAAAAATAGTAGCAGTTCCTCTGGACTGCTTTCAATTTCTGCCTCGGAGCTCTAAGACTGTGAACAAGAGATAACAATACCTCAAGAAAATGTCTGGAGTGATAGCACCGCTATCCCTTAAAGACTTCTTCCACTGCACATCACCATTTCAGCTGTGAAGATTTACCACTGTCTATCATCTGTGATTGTCTAGATTTCCTGTTTACATGGATGTACCAGAGGTATGCTTTAGTGCGAATGGATAAGTCTATTTCTTAGCTCGGCTGTGGGGGTGGTTATCAGTCTCAAATTCTGTTTTTAACTGAAATAATTAACCTAGTTTCTTTGAGTCAGAGAAGTGGGTTCTCAAGATGGTTGCTTTTTGCTGTATGGTTTGCTGCATATTTAATCTGCCCCCATTTTGCCATGGGCTGCAATCTTTATCCTTTTTCATGGTTCCGAAAGGAATAGTTCTTGTATATGGATTACACAAGGGATAAATACCACCTCTCACATGCCCTGTAGCTTAAATGCTTCTATTTAGATCATTTACATTGGTTTCCATTTAGGCTAGTTTATGGGTGTAGGGAAAGAAGGTAGTTTTGAGATTACCATGGTGAAACGGGAACTTGATTTTTAGCCTGAGTCTTACAGCCTTTCTTTGTGGAATGCTCCACTTCTCCATTCGCTAAGTACATGTTTAAAGTCAGTTTAATGTAATATACTACAGTCAGATTTGCCCAACTTTGTGAGTCCAAGCTTTTTCCCCCACTCAGGGTGCTAAGCAGAACTGGAATCTTATACTAAGATCTGCTCAGGAAAGCTTCGGAAAAGAACAGCTTCAAAACCCTTTTCCCTATGACTGAAAAATAAGAGAAGGAAGAATTCTTGGGGATTGCCAATTATATACAGTAGCCTTATTACTGCTAATCACTGTCAATAAAGGTCACTTCATTACCCTCTATTTGAGGAAAACAATGAGAATGTATCTGTTGAACTGGAAAATGGTCAGTATTGGGAAATTTTAATGTTGCAATATCTAATCAAACCTTGAGTGTATTGGTTCTGTGAACCACCTGAAAAAAACAAATTAAACTTATTAAAATAGTATTGGTTGTGATATATCTGTTTATTAGAATCTGAAATATTCAGCTTTTACATTGTTTTTATTTTTTTTCAAAAAAATTTTTTAATAAAGATTTATTTATTTTATACAAGGACCGGCATACAGGCCAGATGTGCGGGAGGGTGAGAGGATTCACCAGAGACAGAGTGGGGAACAGAACAGGCACACTGATGAAATACACTGCTGAGGGGAGCAGCGGGCGAGACAGGAGAGGTCTGCCACGCCACATGGGATACTCGCCAGCCAGCCGGGATCGAACCAGAGCTGCAGAGGCTGCGGACAGCTTCACAGCACGGTGCTCAACTGCTGCGCCACCAGGGGAGGCCTTTTACATTGTTTTTAAATGCTGTATTCTACGATGAAATTTTAATGGTTCTAGTAGAAAATGAAGGCTTAAAAAAAAAAAACCCAAATAAACGAAGGGTCAAATTTTTACAAAAGAACCAAGACAATTTTACTCTGACACTAAAAAAGAATAAATATCTTCTCACTCCAACCAGCTAGGCAGAAAATGAATATACACATGGCAAGTTGGAAAACAGTTTAATGATCACTCACCAAAGTCCATATGAAAACCATGTTTACAGGGACAAATTATTCCACTATTCCTGCTATCACCATGTCCTTCATGATAGAGTATCACCAAGTCAAATGTTTCTGCTTGGTTCATCCACTTAAAAGCAGATGTAAGAAACAACCTGTATCAGAAATTCAAGGCTTCAATGTGAAACCATCAAAGCTTTCTTCGAAATGTTTTCTCTCTGAAAGCAGCTCTTGTCCAGAAGATGAAGGCCCATGAACCTTTCTTCTTCCAATTGGCCAAGAAATAGTTAAAGGCCTCAAAATGCACTGAGGTCCCAAAATTTAGTCAAGGCATGTCTTTAATTGTGATTGGTATCAGAGTTTTGAGAAAGACATTAGAATCATCATGATATCCCTGGAGAACTGAGAGACTAAAGCACCAGTGTAGGAAGTCTCATGGGATGGAAGTCTGGAACCAGTACTTCTTCCTTCAGTACCAGGCCTTTCTAGGTTTGGTTTAGAAGAAGATGATTTTTTTGTGCTTTGAGTTGGGAATTTGCCCCTTCGACTTTAACCTCCGAACTGCCTCCCTCATATGTTTGGGTTGTAGAGGTGGCATTTCTCCCCACTTCTCACACACATCCAAAGCTAAATAGGGGGCAAGGAGAAAGTTTCATTATCACAGAAGAATTTATTAGTTTTAAAGTTCATTATCTTTTTGAACTGTAATTTTCATAAACTCTCCTTAAGCTGCTAGGAAAATAAACTAAGACATTTTTCCTTCTTAAGAGAATGCTATAAAATGTATCATGTTAGTGTTAATATAATCTATATCAGGCTTTATCATAGACACAGTTTAAAATGTCTTCTCAAAAAAAGAAAAGATTTAATTGGATAGAGACTAGCAATGGGTAGCGAGGTTCTTTATTTGGTGGATAAGGGAGCAGTTCCTGGGGTCATAACAGCAGGGACAACTCCTCACCATACCACAATGCTTAACCCCAGTGGTTATTTTTGGCAGCAGAAATGAACAAAGTTCACTGGAGAAAAATAGAAAGTGCTTCTGTCACCTTGGGCTGAGGATAAGAATCAGGAAAATTGCCTGCATACTTCCTGCCTCTTTCCTTGAAAGTACTGAAACTTTCAAGAGTTTCAAGGAACAACAGTCATGCACTCCTGAATATACTTGGTCAATCAGTGCAAATGGAAACTCCCGTAGGTGCCTTACTAAGTTCCTTATTATAGGTGTCCTTGAAAATTAGACCACCACAGATTAAATCCAGTATTTTTACGTAAGTAACACTCACCTTCTTCTACCACCTCCCCGACAAAAACCTTGGAAATACCAGACATAGCAATAACAACGTTCTGAGACACCGAAGTGCCAGTGATGGACTGGATCAGCTTGAAAGAAGGAAAAAGAGTGATTAAGATAAGTCAAGTAGAAAAGTACCCACAAACGCTTTGCCCTGAAAAAGTGCTTCCTAAAGACTAGTTGCTAAAATTGAGACTGTTAAAACAAGAATTCAATTGTATAGTGACTTATTCTCTATGTTGAGACCCTATTCATAAAACACAAAATTGTAATAGGTCAGATAATTAAGAGGTGTGCTGTTTTTATTTTCCAGCCTAAATACCCCACCAATATCCCTAACATCTCACTTCAAATGCCAATGGACAGTGATCTCAAGCCTAGTTCAGTTTTGTATCTGATGGAAAAGAAGTGAGGCAGTCCATCCTTACCCTTTTGATGGCTGCTTTAGGGAAGGCTGACCGGCGATACATTTCATAACGGTTCAGTTGCTCCTCAGAAAAAGAAGAAACCAGGATTCTAGACAAAGATTCAAGTAGTTAAGTTTGCTTTATAAGCACAAATGCTTAAGATACATTATTTCATCAATATAAGTGTTAGATAATTAGAAAACGAATTTTCAAGGGATCAAAAATAGCATTAGGATTGGTGCTTATGAGGAATGAGGATAAAAGCATTTCTATCTTAAAGTTGAGAGAAAGTGTAACACAACATCTTTTTTTCATTTAAAAAAAATTTAACAATGTTGAGTCACTGTCACTCTGCCTTACTATATATCTTCATTTTGTTATTAGAAATACATAAATTTATATTCAAACAGAGTTTTCAGCATTAAGATAGTGAAAATATTTGTAACATCTATGTAAAAGGGTTAATACTCAATATATAGTTAATTCTTTCAAATAAATAAAAAGCTGACCATGCCAATTTTAGAAAATGAGCAAGGGATACAAACAGGAAATTTCTAAAAACACCAATGGCTAGTAAAGATAGCAGGGAAAAAAAAATCAACCTTCACTATCACCTAAAGAAACCAAAATGATAAACTAAAATGATAATATTTTCATAAATCAGACAAGTATTAAAAAATAGTATTAATGAGGGCCTCTCCGGTGGCACAGTGGTTGAGCGCTGAGTTGCGAAGCTGCCCGCAGCCTCTGCAGCGCCAGTTCTATCCCCGGCTGCTCCCCGACCACCAGAGGAGGGTCCCACATGGTGCGCAGACCTCTCCTGCCGCCCGCTGCTCCCCTCAGCAGTATACTTTGTCAGTCTGCCTGCTCTGCTTCCCACTCTGGCTCTGGTGAACTCTCTCACCCTCCCGCGCTTCTGACTGTACCCAGTGCTTGTATAAATAAATAAATAAATAAAACAAACAAACAAACAAACAAATAAATCTTAAAAAAAATAGTATTAATGAAACTAGGAGGACACAAACTCACAAATACCAATAAAGTGGAACAATCTGTTAGGAGAATTTGGAAATACATATATGAAAAGTCTTTGAAAGTGTTCATGCTGCTTGAACTAGCAATTACATTTATCTTAGGAAGTAAATAGATAAAGAATATAAAGATACTAATCATAATGTTACAGGGCAACCCCAATATGAAACGGGTTGCCTGACTGTGGGTCCTCACCCGCGAATCTTTCCTCCTAACAATAGCAAAAGAAAAATATGAAACAAATCAAACAGATACAGAGAATGGTTAAATTATGGTTCACCCACATAATGGAATACAAGATAGCCATGAAAAATGATTTACTGGGTATTCCCTGCAGCATGAGTTTGATCCCCGGCTGGTCAGGGAGCAACCCACATGGTGCAGTAGACCTCTCCTGTCTCGCCCACTGCTCCCCTCTGCAGTGTATTTCAGTAGATCTGCCTGTTCTGCTCCCCACTCTGCTTCTCATGAATCCTCTCACCCCCCGCACCTCTGGCCTGTACCCCAATTCTTGTTTGCATAAATAAATAAATCTTTAAAAATAAAAGCTATAGTAATTAAAACAGTATGGTACTGAAATAAAAACAGACACACAGACCAATGAAATAGAATTGAAAATATAAGAACAGTTAATCTATGACAAAAGAGCCAAGAATATACATTGGAGAAAGTCTTCAACAGTGGGGCTGGGAAAACTGGACTGCCACATGCAAAAGAGTGAGATTAGACTACTGTCTCACACCTTGCACAAAAATTAATTCAAAAAGGATTAAAGACTTGGATGTGAGACCTGAAATCATTAAATGCTTAGGAGAAACAGGCACAACTTTCCATAACACTGGCTCCAAGGATGTCTGTGGCTCTGTCTTCAATAGCAAGGGAAACAAAAGGGAATATAAACAAATGGGACTACATCACCAAAAAGTTTCTGCATAGCAGAAGAAACTATCATTAGAAGACACCCTACTGAATGTGAAAAATATATGCACATCGTATAACTCATAAAAGGCTGATCCCCAAGATCTATAAAGAACTCATACAACTTAACAAAAAGAAAACCTAATCAAAAATAGGCAGAAGTGGGCTTCCCCAGTGGCGCAGCGGTTGAGCGCTGGGTTGCAAAGCTGCTAGCAGCCTCTGCAGCACCGGTTTGATCCCAGGCTGCTCCCTGGCCACCAGAGGAGGGTCCACATGGCGCGCAGACCTCTCCTGCCTCCCGCTGCTCCCCTCAGCAGTGTACTTTGGTCCTTCTGCCTGTTCTGCTCCCCGCTCTGGCTCTGGTGAATTCTCTCACCCTCCCGTGCTTCTGACTGCACCCAGTGCTTATATAAATAAATAAATAAATAAATAAATAAATCTTTAAAAAAAAAAGGCAGAAGAATTAAATTGTTACTTCTTCAAAGAAAACACGTTCATTGTCACTTCTCATCAGGGAAATCAAAATCAAAATCAAAAGTCCAGAGATAACAAGTGTTGGCAGGGATGTGGAAAAAAAGCAACGCTGGTACACTGTTGGTAGGAATGTGGACTGGTCCAGCCCCTATGGAAAACGTTATGGAGGTTACTCAAAATATAAAAAATAGATCTACCATAAGATCCAGCAGATATATGCACTTCTACGTTCATTGCAGCATTATTTTCAATAGCCAAGTTATGGAAACAAGAAAAGTGTCCAAGGACAGATAGGTGGATGAAAAAGATGTGTGTGTGTGTACACATGTGCATATACACACAAAATGGAACACTTCTCAGTAATTAAAAAAAAAAAAAGATGAAGTCTTGCCATTTGTGATAATATGGATGAAACTGAAGGGGATTATGCTAAGTGAAAAAAGTCAGAGGAGAAAGACAAATAGCGCATGGTTTTGCTCATATGTGGAATACAGAGAAACAAAACAAAAGGTCAAAACCAAACCAATAACTATAAATCTGTCAGTAAAACCAAGGCTACCAGAGTGGGTGGGGCAGGGTGGAGAGCAAAGTGTGGAGGGGCCCAGTGAACTATGGTGGATGTCTACAGACGACTTCGTGGTGGGAGTGGGTGGTGACATACATTTGAAGAGGTGTGATCCCATATCTCTGAATCACATACAGTACTGTAAAACAGTATTATCTTAAAAAATAAAAAGTTGTAGATATTTGCCTCAAGGAAGTATATCTGTGGTAATACATCTTAGTGGTTTAATATGTTAAATGATCTGTCATTTAAAAATTGATTAGGGCCTCCCCGGTGGCACAGCGATTGAGCGCAGGGTTGCCAAGCTGCCCGCGGCTTCTGTAGCGCTGGTTCAAACCCCGGCTGTTCCCCGGCCACCGGAGAAGGGTCCCGCACGGTGCGCGGGCCTCTCCTGCCGCCGGCTGCTCCCCTCAGCAGTGTGCTTCGGTCCTTCTGCCTGCTCTGCTCCCCGCTCTGGCTCTGGTGAATTCTCTCACCCTCCCGCGCTTCTGACTGTACCCAGTGCTTGTATAAATAAATAAATAAATCTTTAAAAAAAAAAATAAATAAAAATAAAAATTGATTAAATTTTTAAAAATTATGATTTATGGGCATATTTATTGACTTGAAACTATTCATCTGTACATATCAAACATGATTAAAAAAATCTAAAAAGGTATGTACCTAAATGTATATTCAGGGTAAACTCAGAATGGTGGGATTATGGGTAATTTTTCCCTACTTTTCTGTATTTTCTGAGTTACAGATGTGTAATTTCTGACAAGGAAAACATTCACTATACATAAGTGAAAAACAGCTATACAAACAATATATAACATCTTCGAAATATTTATTTATATATATGTATAGAAAACATTTTAGAGACTAAACCTCAAAATACTGTATTTATCTCTGGTATAACTTTTTTTTTTGGTCTAGCAGCAATATTTTATCTCTGGTCATAAGGTGTTATTTTTTTCTTTTTACTTATTTATGTTTTCTAGCAGGTAGCCTAATGTATTAATTGTTTTATTTTCTTTTGAGTTTAAAAAAGAAAGTTACTAAAAGTCAAGAAACACTGTTAACTTTGTGTGGCCAAGCAAGACTTGCCTTAAAATGGGGAAAGATCAGAAAGTGACTTACTGCATCTTCTGAATCTCATCTTCATCCACTTTCTGCTTCTTCTCTTTCTTTTCTTTGGTATCTATTTTCAGTTTTTTGGCTGCAGGAGTAAGTAAAGAAGAGTCTTCCCTTTCAACTGCTGTTAAATCTGAGATATCCTGACTCTTGACCTGAGAAGATGAAAGAAACCTTATTACATTCTTGCCCGACTTTTCAGATTTGGGCAAGGTAAGAAGACATCATTCTCACTACAACACAATAAATCATTTATTCAGTAGTTTTCTGGTTCCAGGCACTGACAGTACCATCAAGTGTAAGATGTACTGTCTCTCTTAAAGAAGTTTATAGTTTTCTGTAGAAAGAAAACCAGCCCTTAAATAATCCAGTTCAACTATGATCACAGTTCCAGTATCTGTTTACAATGGGAATGAAATGCCAAGGATCATGAAACCACTCTCTTGAGCCCACTCTCCTAACCTTATTCTTTACAAGGGATGTCAGCAAAGTCTCCATGGAATCAGTTCTTCTGTCTCTGTGTATAAAGATTTAAAAATGTATGCTTTTCTTTGTGGTCTGGTATATGACCAACTTTTAAAAATAATACAGTAGCATCAAAAATTTTTGGATCCAAATTTCTGCATGCAGTGAGATCTTTATTGGACTAAGCTAATTATTATTCAAATCCTTTCTATCATTGAGAACTGTTTTAAAGCTTCCTCTTAAAGATAGTTTCATCACATTATGCTTTATCTAAAAATTCTTAGCTAATGTATTTTTTGGTGCAACTTTGGGCTGTGAAAGACTATTTCTATCTAATCTAATGCTCCCCCACCCCATGATCTAAGTTCCTTATATCTCTAAGATTCTGTCTCTAGAGATGGAACCCAGACAGGACTCAGATTCTGGCTGATGCTCAACTAAGCAACACTTCTGAGCTCCTGGGGTGACCCAACTATGGATTTGGTGTGTTTAGAAAACTTTGGAAGTTAGCTTCCACGCCATTGGTAACCTTTAATTTTGGGACACTGAAATGTCTCAAAAAGGTAAGAACGATACGCCAGGAATTCCCTTTGAAGTCCCCCTTTAACGAATTTGATCAGCTCTTCAGCCTGTAAAGTCAGTTATGTTTAAGTAAAATCCACGGGAAAGGAGTACTAAGAATTCTGGGTTTTAGCTCTTGCACTGTCTCAATTTCCTCACTAGGAAAACAAAATGTTATTTAAAGTTCCCTTAGAAGTAGCTTTTAATAGCTTTAAAAATACTAACCTGCCGTTTGGGTCTCTGGCACCCAACCAGCACTATGATTGTCTCCCTCCCCCATCCCGTTCCAGCGACTGCAGATCTAGAAGTCCCCATGAGTTCCAGTAGCTTGGGAGGGACCAACGAAGAAAAAGGTAAAGCAGCCACTAACATAGTCTCGGATACTACTCTGGTCTCGCTTCCTACCTCTCCTTCCTCAGCTGCGGCTTCTTTTAATTCCCCATCTCCGTCCCCCTCAGTTTCCTCAGGGGCTGCGTCGTTGTCAGTAGGCCCGGGTCCCCCGGAAGCAGCAGTCGCCTCTTCTGACTCTCCTGTCTCTCCACCTTTTTCCAGGGGGGACTCGCAGGCAATGTCCATAGCTACAAGAAGAGGAGGAGAAAGGAGATCACGCTGCTGTCAGGCTCAGGAGCTCAGAAGCAAGCACTGCACGGCAGCCCCAAAACTTACTTCCTCCGGGCGCGCCGCGATGACGTCATCCCTGCTGCGGCTCGGAGGCGTCACTCGCAGGCGCGCGGAGAGGACTTCAAGGCTCGGTTTTGACTCTGATTTGGTGGCGACGGGGAGAGGGAAAATTGAGAGTGAGGAGTTCAGTTTGTGGATTCTGGAAACCAGCATTTGAGAAGGAAAGCTGTGTGTTTACGGAGGGACTCTATCTGTCCTTTCCGCCTTTTAAAAGTCTCAATGCCCGTTAACCGCTTACTCCACTTGCCTCATCAAGTCTGGAAACGCGAGAAAACTCATTTCCGCGTCTGCGGGGTCGCGAGGCGGCTGCAGGTGGACGGGTTAGATTCAGCCTTGCTCGTTTCAGCTGGACAGAGATGGGGCGCCTGTGTTTACATCGAATTACCAGTGTTTCTTTCTGATCCACAAGCAGCTAAAAAAGTCACATTGCTTGAACAAAACGTATCCAGTCCATTAACTCACTCCACAACTGTCGAGCTAGCGCCCCGGAACAGCGCCAGCGCCAGAAACAGAACAAGGCGCCGCTGCTATCCAGTTATCGGATTTTTCCAATTCACCAGTCCAGATCTAGGGCAATTTCACAAACCTGACTTTTTATGTCAGTTACTCATCAGAGTAAAAGGAAACGAAATCTACGGGGGGGGGGGGGGGTCCTTATGAAAGTTTCACTCTAACGAGTTATTTCAGGGTTTGGGGGCATGAAAAAGTGGGTATGGTGCTAGTTTTTAAAAAATTTCCTCTCTTTTGGTACTGTGGGAAGCCTTTTATTCTCCTCTCTATCGCTAGTTCCTTATACCATAACATATTAAATTTATTCATGCTGAAAAAACGGACACGGAAATTTTCGTGCGCATTACCACATTTTTCTCTTTGTTTCTACGCTGCCTGGATGAATTACCGTATTTCCTGTCCTGTAGGCTCCCAAAAACCTTTGGGGAAGGAGCACACTTCGGGAGGTACACACAGGTGGGTCTGTCTACTCCCTTCCACCTGTGCGGCGGGTGCCCACAGGGCACTTTCCGCAGGCCCCTGGAAGCCTGTCTTTGCTTCGAGGGGTTCCCTGCTGGCGGGCGAGAGGCACCTGCGCCCGCCCGCTTAGCCCCGCCCAGCTAGGTGGGCAAGGGGGCGGGGCAAGGGGGCGCGGTGACGCGTGACGCCGGATCCCGGAAGTGACGCATCGGAGGGGGGGGAAAGGCGGGGGGGAGGGGGGTGGTGTCCCCGGCCGGTTTGGGGGGTGCGTTGCCCGGAGACGGAAAGTTTGGGAACCGGAGCAGGCTCCGTGGCTGCCCCGGGAAGGGGATCCTGGGGGCGGCGGCCCTGGGGATGGGGAAGGAGCAGGAGCTGCTGGAGGCGGCCCGCACCGGGCACCTCCCGGCTGTGGAGAAGCTGCTGTCCGGGAAGCGGCTCTCCTCGGGCTTCGGGGGCAGCGGCGGCGGCGGCGGCGGCTCCGGGGGCGGCAGCGGCGGCGGCAGCGGCGGCGGCCTGGGCTCCTCGAGTCACCCCCTCTCCAGTCTGCTCAGGTGGGTAACGCGCCAGGGCCGGGCCACCGCCCGAGACCCCTTCCCTCCCACTAGTCTCAGGTCCCCAGAGAGGTCGGGGCTCCCGAGACCTGGGCGGGACGGGTTTGCGAGGTGCCCCGGGGCGAGGGCAGGTGGCCCGGGGGCCGGGGGCGCGGGTGCAGGTCCGCGAGGCGCACGGCCCCCCTATTTCGCGTCCCGACCCGGCTGTGAAGAATGGTGGGAGTGCCCAGGTGGCAGCCTCCGCCGCATGGCACAGCCCGGCTTCCCCCTCGCCCGCTATAGGGTGCCAGCTGTCGTACCTCTCAAATCACTTTAGAACCATATATATTTTTAAATCTCCCTCACCTCCTGCAGAAACTCCCACGCCTTGCGGGATCTCGCGGCTCCCGTGGAGGAAATTCTCTGATTCCCTTCTTTTGGGAACTTGGAGCCTTCCACCAGCCTCAGCAGGACCTGGCTTTTGTTGTTTATATTAAAATTGTCTCTGGATTTATCGCGTTCAAAGTGTTCTTTGAGCTTCTCTTATGCGTGAAGCTCAAATCTAGTTCCTTGTAGTGAACCTCGTTGGATTAGTCTGTGAAGTGGCGAATGCAGCGGTTGGGGGGGGGGTTATTCATCAAGGAACAAAGCTTTAGAAAGACCTGTTTAGGAAACAGGGGCGCTTTAAACTTTTCCAAGGTCTCTTAAAATGAACACTTGAATCTGGAGTTGTGAGGATTGAAAGAAAAGGTCACTTTCGTGGTTTGGAGGGCGGATTGGAGGTGCTTTGTTGGTGTACGCAAAATGTGTTGGTTCAGCATTGCTTTCATAGCCTGTTTTCTTTTCCTTCCTTGTTCTTTTGAGGTTTTTAAGAAGTGGAAGTTCATTTAGAAATGGCTTCGTTTGCTTTTGTTCCCCATTAGTTTATGTAACTTCAATTTGAGTGAGCTTGGACCAAGGATGCCCAAGGCTCTAATTAATTGTTAGGTATCAGGAACTGAGTATGAATCCAGATATCTACTGGAAATTTTTAAAAAACAGTATAAGAGAAGAACTTTCTCGAGGAGAGAGGCTTTGGGGAGGAAAAAACAAGTACTGTTTGCTGCATTTTCTCCAACCGTTAGAACAGTGCCAATACGCAGTTGATATTCAGAATTTATTGAATAAATATGTGTCACTTAGAGGATGATGCATTTCTAAATAAACTAATGGTGGTATTCACTGTAATTGTTAGTAGTTCAGAGAAACAAGACGTTGTTGGGATGAGATGGAAATCAGGGCTTCCAGGTGGAGGAGAAAGGTTGGAAGACTTCAGCTAACTTTGAAGGATGGGAGGGTTTGGGTTGAAGTACAGTGAGCGTGTCCTAGGTGTGCACAGCTTGACCAGAGGCACAGAAGTGGGAAAGGAGAATGATTGATTGTTAATGGGGCTTTAGAAGAACTCCCTGCCTGGAGCTTTGAGTGGTTGGGTAGGATAAAAGGAAATAATAATGGATGGGTACACATCCATCTTGCAGAGGGACCTAGTCTCAGTTCCTAGATCAGTGCCTGACAACTCAGAAGTGTTCAGGAAATATATAGTCAATGCATGAATTGGGTTTTGAGTCTTACCTGGATTATTTTGATACTTTTGCACTTTGATATCTGAGAGATGAGAGAAAGACTACCAAGTTTGGGAGTGCCTGTCTGTAATGAGTTGAATAAAAGCATTTGGAGTTTTGCCAGAGATACCTTAGTCCCCAGTATATCCCACTGAAGTGAGAAACTTTCACATATCTTCAGCTATCAAATGCAAGTCAAGTTACTCTTAGGGCTCTCACTCAGAGACGAGTGAACCGTTTGCTGATTTAACTACTAGGTGGTTAAGCAGTCTCTGTTGAACACAATGTTTTTACTTTGGACCTCATGCTAAAATGTACCGTCTCCTTCCCAATGTGTGGATGGTGTCCCCATTCCCTGAAGAGAGAGCTGACTCCTCCGGACATGTTCCTGTGTCTGCTGTAGAGACAGGCACTGCCCCAGTCTCTCATCCCTGTGACTCCTGGGGGCAGGGAGGATCTGCAGGCACTAGTTACAGTAGGTGTGTCATTAATTAGAGGTGATTCTGCTTCTACCTAGTGAAAGATTTCTGAGCAAATGAGACCATGTATTTAAGTAATCCCTAGGTCAGCATGTCCTCCTTTTTAAGGTTTGGAAATAGTCGAGGGTGCTTACACTTCCCTAGTCAAGGAATCTGAGCTGTAAAGCAATCATAGGAAAGGAATCATAGCTTCAGATTTGGCCTTTGAGTCTGCTACCATATCCTAATCCAATGGTACTGCCATCTGCACCCTTGTTTGTCCAGCTGCTTGAATGATTAAGTAAATCTGGCAGGAATAGGGGCTTACAGCTGCAGTGGATATAGATGTTCCAGACCACATGTATGTTTATTCATCTATTATGATCCCCGACCCCCAATTTCACAGTGGCTTTGCGATTATTCTTTAGCTATAAAATACCCTTTTGTTTCCCCCATTCCTTTTTTCTCTTATACTGCTTGAGCTCAGGTCTTAACTTCTTAAAGCCCTCCCCGATGACCCTAGTACACAAAGATCTCTCAAGCTTCTACTTCTTTGGAATCCATCTGTAGTACACAGTAGCTCAACTCATACTTTGCTTGCCTAGTTTTCAGTTTATTGCTTTCACTTGTCAGTATAATGTTTACATATGGTGACCTCATCAATTGAGAATATACCTGAGAATCAGCATGTCAGCAAAGAAAGGTTTACTAGGAAGAAAAGAGTTGTTATACACATATTTCATGTCTTTCTAACCTTTACTTATTTACTATACATTTATACTATACATTTATATTATATATAAATGTAGTATTATGCACTATAGTATTATGCTTAAAACCATTTGTTTCAGTCAGCCCTCACACTGTCTGGATTCATATTCCATTGCCACTGCTTTATATAAACATGACCACTTTCAACCTCAAATTCTGCATCTATAAATGGGGATAATATCTGCATTGAAGGCATTGTCTTAGGTAATGTAAGAAATCACTGGCATATTGTAAGTGCTCACTGTTAGTATCTTCAGTTCAGTTCAGCACATGCAATTTTGCCATGCTGTACCCACCCACTTTGTGCAAAGAACCATGCCAGACACATTTTAATAGTGTTGCTTGATATTTGGATATCTGTTTTCCAAGTCACGGCAGATTAGAAACAATAGGGAGAGGTCCTCCTCAGGCAGGCACATTGATGGCATTCACTTACCAAATGTTTACTCATCTTCTGCTTCGTGCCAGGTCAGTTGCTAGATGCATTGCAACATTTATCGTAGACCTGGCACATAGTAGGTGCACTATCAGAACTAGTCCCTCTCCTGATACATGGCCTATTCCTTACAGTATTTATAGTAGTATGAAATGTCTGTGTGACAGATCGACAAAATAAAAGAAAAAACAAAATCTAGTATAAAGTTCCCTACCTCCCAGTAATTTGAGATTATTAACATATATGAACATAACCCTGCAGTCCTGGTTTAAGCCCCAAACATCATTGTTCTATAGCTTAGTGCTATAATTTCTGTCCATTATGACTCTTAGTCATCAAATAAAGATTGAATTATGTTCAAGAAAGTAGGAAAAATGTAGTTTCTATTTAAAATGATTCAAATGTAAATTTTTGTTATGGACAAGGACACATAGTAGATAATATAGAAGATGCTTTTCTAAAGGTCTAGTCTTACAGAGATTTTCGATAGCATGGATTTTACTTTATATAATACTGTTTCATTTTAAAATTGTCAAAGTGATGCACGTCTTCAGTCTATCTTGAAACAGCACTGTATTAAATCCTTTTTTAAATTTTTGCATAGAGGAATTGGGGTATAGGCCAGAGATGTGGGGGTGAGAGGATTCACTAGAGACAGAGTGGGGACAGAACAAGTGGATTTTACTGGAATACACTGCTAAGGGGAGCAGTGGGTAATACAGGGGAGGTCTGCTGCACAATATGTGGGTTAGCTCCCTGATGGGGGATCAAGCTGAGGCAGTAGTGTGGTGATAGCTCTGAGACTTAACCCCTACGCCACCAGGGAGGCCCTGTATTAAATCTCTTTTATTTATTTATTTTTAAAGATTTATTTACCCATGCATACAAGAGCTGGAGTACAGGCCAGAGGCATGGCGGGTGAGAGGACTCACCAGAGACAGAGTGGGGAACAGAACAGGCAGACCAACCGAAATACACTGCTGAGGGGAGCAGCGGGCGAGTCAGGAGAGATCTGCTGCTCCATGTGGGTTGCATCTTGGCTGGGTGGGGGATTGAACTTGTGTTGCAGAGGCTGCGGTCAGCTTCATAAGTTATGTCCCAAACCCCTGCGCCACCAGGGAGGCCCCTAAATCTCTTTTAAATGTTTGAAAGTCTCAGTATTTTTCAGCCTAATGCACATAGCAGACACTCAGATTCTCATGTAATGGGAGTTTGGAGTGTTTATGGTTGTAGTGAAACTACTTATTTCTAAGAAAGCTATTTCTGTATGAGAATACAGTAAGATTTAGGTTAACAGAAGTCTGTCAACTAAAAGGCAAAAGATCTCAGAAAAGGAAATATTAAAGAAAACCTCATACAGTAACTTAAAACGATAAATTGAATTATGAGCTGAATACTGATGTATGTGAGTGTGAATGTATATGAATGATTTAAAGTATAATGCACTCCTGAGCATTCAGAAGCACAGAGAAACTAAACCACAGGCCATAATTAAGGATCAGATTGTGTCATGGTTAGGAAAATTCTATACTTAATTTCTCAAACATGAGAAAAATGAATAAGAAGCCAAGGAGGATTGCTATAGAAATCTGCAAATATGTAGACAGTAGCAATAAGTGTGACTCTAAACTAGTTTTATCTCTACCATTTCAGGGGGAGGTGAGGAAAAGACAGGGGAGGTCTGCTGCTCAAAGACAGGGGAGGTCTGCACAGGTCTGCTCTTGGGATACCAAGAGACATGAATTTGTCAAAAAT